CCTCATTTGCACTCTTACATCTTCCTGCATCCTGCAATGCATTCTTTATTTATAGTTTTATGCAATTTTATAAAACCTAAAATAAAAAGAAATTTAAAAACGAACAAAATAATTTATTATTATGTAATCAAACCGATTTCGAATCTCGTTTAGAGCACACCCGACCCGGGATTCGTTTAGCGCACACCCGAACCCTTCCGGTATTGTTTTGACTCCGGATTCAGGTGTTCCTACCAACGTATTATGTAAGCAATTATCACGCAGGATTTTTGGAAAAAATTCGGAAAAAACCTCGATCATCTCCGTAACCAGTGAGCGTCCTCCAACGGCTCGCATCTGCAGCGGCTGTAAACTCTCAGTGTCGACGTGCATAACGAGCAAATTTCCCTTCCTATCATCGTTGAGCATCGGCAAGAGGTGCCAACACTGTGCTTTGGAGCCTCTTTATATAAACCGGGGATTGTCCTGAGAGGGCTTACGTCGCTTTAGATCTCGTCTATCTCAGTAATCTCCCAGTTTTTGTTGTTTGGTACCGATGTCTTCAAGCTCCTCTCACGACCACTCTGCTATGATGGCCTCAATGGCCATGGAGAGCAGCGCCAGTGTTACGTCAATGGTTATGTCTGCCACCAGTGCGATGGTGAGTTCCATGGCGAGCTCAATGGCGTCCTCGATGAGCATGGACATGGATATGGATATGTCCTCAAGCACCAGCTCAATGGCCAGCGACCATATGAACCATGCTAGTTCGTCCAGCACCATGGATATGGCTTCCTCAACGTCTTCCTCGATGGACATGGACCATGGCTCGATGGACATGTCCATGAACAGTTACATGACAACCAACTACGACAGCTACCCAGTGGTGTTCAAGACACTGACAGCTTCAAGCGGTGGTGCTGCCTTTGGTATCTTTTGCGTGCTCTTCTTCTCTGCCTTCTTCTACAGAGGATTGGCCTTCTTGGCTGCCTATTTGGAACAAAGAGTGTTCAAGACTGAAGTTCCATGCCAGAATAACGACGATACAGACACAGAGGCCAAGTGCTGTGACGTTGATGTCCCAGTGTCCAATAACCCAGAGATTGCAAACTCAGAAAAGGACAGATCAGTATTGGCCAAGTTCTTCCATTTCACACCACAATCACTGTACAGAGACTTTATCAGATTGATCATAACGTTTGTATCGGCAATGTTTGGTTATGCGCTTATGCTTGCAGTCATGTCCTTTGTCATCACCTACTTCTTTGCGGTGGTACTGGGCATGGCTTTTGGTGAGATCTTCTTCTTGAGACTGGCTACTGTAATGGGGATCAGACACACCGGTATGTTCTGCTCGTCTTTACATTGAGATGTATATAGAAACCTACATCGATCTTCGATATCGATAAAGCTGACATTCTCGACCCGTTCCTTTGTTGTTTTGCTCTTGTGATTTGTCTTTCAATACATGATAATGACTATATCTTTGTTAATTGAGTAAGCTTAAATAGAGCGAATATGGATCACTTCTTGTTACCTTTGCCTTTACCTTTAGCCTTTGGCTCGGCTTCTTCAACTGTTTCCGGCTCAGGTGTCTCGATGACTTCCGGTTTATCAGCTTCTTCTTCGTCGTCGTCATCCTCTTCTTCTTCTTCCTCAACATCGATTGGAATACTCTCCAATTCTTTAACAAGATTCTCCAATTCAGACACAGAGGCCTTATGGTACTCCAATTGAATCTTTGTAAAGATAATTATCAAATTTACGCTTTCCGCTGGTTCAATAAGTTTCTTCATACTCTGAACAGCAACAGTAGTAGCATTGACCAACTCGTCTTCAGCGTTATCCAAAGATTCCTGAAGTTTCTCCTGTCTTTCAGGGTAAACCTTCACTTCGTGTCTCAAAGTGTCAAAGTTCAATCTCGCACTGTCAACCTTCTTTCTGTTGGCAGTGGTCTCTTTGAAGCTCTTGTCGAGAGATTCATGCAGTTTGGCATTGAACTCAGTAAGAATCATATTATCTTGTTCCAATCTCTTAGAACCGATCTTTGCCTGGGAATCAGAAAACTTCAACAGCACTTTACTCAGGGCATTCTCACCACCAAATTGTAGCAAGAAATCATGCGACTGCTTAGCAGCTTTACTCAACTCATATGCCAAAGTCTGTGGCAGAGCTGGTGCTCCTGAAGATGCAGTCAACACCTTTTCAGCTTCAGCTGCAGTTGAAGCCTTCTGCAGACCTTGAAACTTATCACTAAGAGTCTTAGACAAGTCAGACAAAGATTCAGTAGGATTAGGTGGATAATAGTAGCTCTCAATCTCATAGGTACTACTAATCGACAACAGTTTCTTATACACCGATCTCAGAGCATCAGTCTTCTTCTCGAGAAGGATATACTCCTCTGGCAATTCGGATATGTCTTCAATGCTACCAAACTTCTCCTGGACAAGTCTGGCAGTACGTTTAGCCATTGGAGTGATGTCATTGGTGAACTTTTGAGCCTCCTTGGAGACCTCTTCAAACCCGGATTGGATACTCTTTGTGAAATTGTTGAAGAAAGACATCTTAATTGATCCTGGCGAGAGCGAGTGTGCGTGTTTGAAGGAGGAAAGGGGGGGATGAGCACATAGCGTGCGGTTATAAGACTTTCATGGTACACCCGGACACCACAACAGGACACCACACCTGAAGTGCACCACTTAATATGGCACCAAAGCCGATTGAAGCAAAAGAAACTCTACAATTAAAGAGTAACAGTAAAAGAATGTGTGTTTAGTAGTACATACAATTAAGCAACGATGTCCTTGTTGAGTGCGTTGTAGGCAGTTTCATCGATTTTCTTCAGCTCTTGAGCCAGTTCTTCTCTTTTCTTTCTAGCTTCTTCCAGCTTGGCCAACAGGGCCTCTTGTTCCTTTTGGAACTCTTCATCTTTGGTTTCCAGAGTTAGGATTGATAGGGACGAGGCCTTTGTTTCAACCTTTTCAACTTTCGTGGAGAGGGTTTCGTTTTCAGTCTTTGTTGGTTCGGAGGTTGTCTCGGTCTCGACAGGTTCAGTCTTCACAGGTTCAGTCTTCACAGGTTCAGTGTCAACAGGTTCGGAGACAACATGTTGAGAGTCCTCAAGCTTAGATTTGGAAACTTCATTCAAAGATGCAACTGCGTTGGCATGTTCAGCTTTCAAGTCACTCAATTCCTTTTCGCCGTCGTTAACCTTCCGTTCAGTGGTCTTTTTGTTTATCTCTGCAGCGTCAATCAAAGATTCCAGTTTGGCCTTGTTATCCAACTCCGCAGCGTGGTCCTTCTCTTTACTCTCAAGAGTTGTGTTCAATTCGTCACTCTTGAGCTTGGAGACTTCGGATTTTTTCTTAGTCTGAGCCAATTCCTCGTTCAGCTTCTTAATCTGTTCGTTGATATCGTCAATATCCTTCTGATGAGTGTTATTCTTGAAATCAGTGATAATCTTCTCAGACTCGTTCTTCTTTAAAGCAGCCTCTTTGATCTTGTTCTCATGGTCAATTCTCAGCTGTTTCAAGTTCTCAATCTCTAGTAACTTAGACTCCTTTTCCTTTACAAGATTTTCGGCCTCTGTCTTTTCGTGTGCGATGCTATCTCTCAACTCTTGACAGTCTTGCTCATAAACCTTGAGCTTTTCACTCGATTCAACCTGCTTATCCTCCAGCTCCTTCAACTGCTCGGCAGCTTCCTCTTGATCCTTCTTTGCCTGTTCAATTTCCTCATATTTAGACTTGATTTTATCCTCAGTCTCTTGGAAGTAGTTTTTCTTGTTTTCCTCGTGTTGGTTCTCCAATTCTTTGGTCTTCTCCTCGTGTTCTACATTTGCCTTTGCGATGGCGTCATCTGTACTGTCAACATTAGTCTGGATTCTGTCTTCAATTTTAGCAATCTCCGCCTTTAGCCCCTCGATCTGATTATCAAACGCATTCTGAATTCTGTTGTACTCGTCATCATTCTTCTTCTTAATGGCGTCCAACTTCGTCTTGTGTTGTTCATTCTGGTAGTCAATTTTTTGTTGAACAGTCATTGGCGTACCATCTGGGTTCTTGTTGACTTCTGCAGTGAATGGGAAGATACTAAATAGTCTATGCTTCTTATTCAATGGTTCAACTTTGTGAAGCTGTTGAACTTGTTGGGGTTCCTCTTTTGCAGCGGTTTCTCCACCTGCTTCCTCTTCATCATCAGCACGTAATGGTTTCTCCTCAACTTCTTCATCTTCTTCATCTTCTTCATCTTGTGGTTCTTCTTCTTCAGGCTCTTCCTTTTTCGGACCCTCAGCTTCCAACCTAGCCTCCTCAGCCTGAATCTTTAACTGCTCCAATCTCTCCCTTGCAGCTTTCAACTTACGTTCATCTTGTTCCCTATTCTTAGCAATTTGATCGTCTTGCTGTTTCTTCAATTCGATCTGCTTGTTCTTCTCTTGCTCGAGTCTCTCAAGCTCACGTTCATGTCTATTTTCTAATCTGGAGAACAGATTTGGGATCTTGATGATCGGTCCCTTTGGTGATCTTGGCGTGGCAGAACGTTTCGTGACGTAACGGAAGGGAGAGTAGTACTGTTTTTCTTCAGGCTCCTGAGGCTGGTCTACAGCTTCCTTGGTGTGTTCCTCAGGTTCAACGGTTTCTGGTTCATCAACGTTTTCCTCAGGTTCAACCGTCTCATCTTCAGCCTTATCAGCTTCACCATATTCAGCAGCTTCCTCGTCTTTATCACCGTCTTCATTCTCAACACCTTGGTCAATTGCAGCGTCTTCAGTCTCCTTCACATCGCCAGCTTCTGTAGCTGCTTCAGCAGCGGCTTCAACAGGGGCCTCAACAGGGGCTGCAACAGCGGTAGCTGCCGTCTGCTGTGGCACCACCTTCTTCTTACGCTGAATCGCAAAGCTAAAGATAGATTTCTTCTCCTCAGCAGGTGGCTGTTGGAATGCAAGGAATGGATCCGGGCGTCCCATCTTTATAGCTGTTTTTATAATAGCAATTACTTCTTGAACTAGTAGACGATAGAGATTAAACAGCAACAACAAGTAGAAAAAGTAACCTGGCGCAAGTGAATTTTCAGGGGGCGCATATATAAAAAAGAGGACCCAAAAGGTGGCAGGGGGGAAACTGCGAACGTTCGTTATGTTTCTTCCCGATTAGGAAATGATGCTGTGGTGATGTGATATTTGGATGTCCGGATGTTTCGAAGATGTGGTGTGTGGATGTTTTAGACGGGGCTGTTTGAATAGTTCTAGAAGCTCATGGAAGGTGTTTGGAGTGTGCGATGGGAACAATATTAATTGGAGGTAATCTACCAATGACTTCTACTTCGTGATGGTTGTCATCGCTAAGTTAAATCAACAGCAAGCAGGGAAACAACAAGGTTAAGCACAATATGTCCGAGTCTCGTCCAAAGGTCTTCTTCGATATCTCGATTGGTGATGAACCAAAGGGTAGAGTGGTGTTTGAGCTATTCAGCGATATAGTTCCAAAGACTGCGGAGAATTTTAGAGCGTTGTGCACTGGTGAAAAGGGAGTGGGCCAGTCTGGCAAGGCGTTGAGTTATAAGGGCTCTTCATTCCATAGGGTCATTAAGGACTTCATGATCCAAGGTGGTGATTTCACAAAGGGTGACGGCACTGGTGGCGAGTCCATCTACGGGGAGAAGTTCGAAGATGAGAAGTTTGAGGTCAAGCACGATAAGCCATTCCTACTCTCCATGGCAAATGCTGGTCCAAATACCAACGGATCGCAATTCTTCGTTACAACGGTCCCAACGCCACATTTGGATGGTAAGCACGTTGTATTTGGACGGTTAATCTCCGGTAAGGGTGTCATCAGATCCGTGGAGAGAACAGAGACTGCAACGGGAGACAAACCGGTACAGGACTGTATCATCACTGACTGTGGTCAATTGCCAGATGACTACGTCCCAGAGCCTTCTGTCCCAGTTGATGATGGCACTGGAGACATCTACGAGACTGTGCTTGTTGACAACGACAACATCAACCTCGACAACTACGAAGAGGTTATTGGTGCAATCGCCACCATCAAGGATATCGGGTCCAGACTGTTCAAAGCGGGCGATCTTTCCAATGCATTGGCTAAGTACAACAAGGCAGAGAGCTATCTCAAGGACTATTTCCCAGACGATCTATCAGGAGATCAAATCGACGAGTTGAACAAGTTGAAGGCTTCAGTCTTCCTCAACATCGCGCTTGTCAGTCTGAAACTGGAGAAGTACAGCGAAGTGTTGAGATCTGCCACACAGGCATTGGATTGTGATGGAATCGACGACAAGTCCAAGGCGAAGGCACTCTACCGTCGTGGTTCTGCCCTACTGAAGTTGAAGAACGAGGAGGACTCACTAAGAGACTTTGAACAGGCTTTGAAGTTGTCACCTGGTGATGCAGCAATTCTAAGAGGAATTGACTCCGTGAAGAAGAGTGAAAAGCAACGTAAGGAGAGGGAAAAGAAGGCCTTCAGTAAGATGTTCAGTTAAGAATCTAAACCTTACCCTCTATCATCATCAACATTACTGTAGTAACTTCCCCGGCCTCAGTACAGGAAAAACAAAATGCCGTGTAAATTTCAGAATGTCCACGTGTAAATCACAGCACTCCAAAAGTGAAAAGTTTTGGGGGGCAAAACGAAAAAAAAGTGGCCGACGAAGGCATAAACAAAGAATGAAAACATCAAAACAACCACAAAAACATCAAAACAACCAACCAAAAAAGAGAGAAAGAGAACCTTTCCATCTCTTAAACCTTTCCCCTTGTTTCGTGTGACTAGCTGTGTGTGTCTAGAAGGATCTTTCGTCTATTATCATCACGAGTTATTCTAAACCAGTTGGAACTGTACTTTCAATCCTTTTTCCCTCCTTTTTGAACAGCCCACAACAATAGAAGAAGGGAAGGTTTTGGACGGCGGCTAATAGCGCTTAGGCTTGAAGAAGTTACAACAGGTATAGAAACTACAAGGAAGCATAGTGTTTCGGTTCTTTTGCTTGAAAACAGTGGAAAAGAGTCATTAATTTGGAGCTTTTCTTTTCATCTGATTCTGTTGAAGAAAGTAAACAAACAAGGAACATTTTTTATTTGCATAGACAATCAACTGAAAATACCAAAAAAAACAAAAAAAAAAACTACTAAAAATACAAGGAAGCTATTCATTTCACGTTATCTGATTTCATTTGTCTTATTACATCTTTTAACGAAGGTACAGGTGCCTTTTTAACATACGTTTGTCATCCAGAGAAGGAATTCATAAAGGCAAAACAACAACAAGAAGATCACAATGGTTCAATTCCCATATTCAAGTGCGCCATTGCGTACTGTTAAGGAGGTTCAATTTGGTATACTCTCTCCAGATGAGATTGTGAGTCATATGCTCCAGAGGTGGTAGCCTTTGTGTATTTTGCTCAACTACTAACCCTGTCTTTTTAGCGTGCAATTTCTGTTGCGAAGATTGAATTTCCAGAGACTATGGATGAGACCCAGACGAAACCAAGAGTTGGTGGATTAAACGATCCAAGATTGGGATCTATTGATCGTAATTTCAAATGTCAAACTTGTGGTGAAGATATGAACGAATGTCCAGGGCATTTCGGCCATATCGAATTGGCCAAACCCGTTTTCCACATTGGTTTTATCAACAAGATTAAAAAAGTGTGTGAATGTGTTTGTATGCACTGTGGTAAGTTGCTCCTCGACGAATCGAATGACTTGTTCAAACAAGCTATCAGAATCAGAGATCCAAAGAAGAGATTCAACGCAGTGTGGAATCTTTGTAAGACAAAGATGATCTGTGAGCCAAATTTCCCACCAGATGCAGACGGAACAGTTCGTTCAAGAGGTGGATGTGGTAATGCTCAACCTTCTGTACGTCGTGACGGGTTAAAGCTTTGGGGTACCTGGAAAAAGGGAAACCCTGATGAAAATGAACAACCAGAGAAACGTCTCTTAACACCAAGTGAGATACAGAACGTCTTTAAGCATATTACACCAGAGGATTGCCGTAAGCTAGGTTTTCACGAGGATTACGCTCGTCCAGAATGGCTCATATTGTCGGTCTTACCAGTTCCACCTCCACCAGTTAGACCTTCCATCTCTTTCAACGACACCCAAAGAGGTGAAGATGATTTGACATATAAGCTATCTGATATCATGAAAGCTAACATTAATGTTCAAAAACTGGAAATGGATGGTTCTCCACAACACGTTATTAACGAATTTGAAGCGTTGCTGCAGTTCCACGTAGCCACCTATATGGATAACGACATTGCTGGTCAACCACAAGCTTTACAAAAATCTGGTCGTCCAATCAAATCAATTCGTGCTCGTCTCAAAGGTAAGGAAGGTCGTATCAGAGGTAATTTAATGGGTAAACGTGTTGATTTCTCTGCACGTACTGTTATCTCTGGTGACCCAAACTTAGAGCTGGATCAGGTTGGTGTGCCAAAGAGTATTGCTAGAACTTTGACATATCCTGAAACAGTAACGCCATACAACATCCAAAAACTGACAGAACTTGTACGTAATGGTCCAAATGAGCACCCAGGTGCCAAATATGTGATCCGTGACACCGGTGATCGTATTGATTTGAGATACAACAAACGTGCTGGTGACATCGTTTTACAATACGGTTGGAAAGTTGAACGTCATTTGATGGATGAAGATCCAGTTCTTTTCAACCGTCAACCCTCTTTGCACAAAATGTCCATGATGTGTCATCGTGTGAAGGTTATGCCTTATTCCACTTTTAGATTGAACTTGTCAGTCACATCACCATACAATGCTGATTTTGACGGTGATGAGATGAACTTGCACGTTCCACAGTCAGAAGAGACTAGAGCTGAGCTCATGAACATTTGTGCAGTGCCACTTCAGATCGTTTCCCCACAGTCGAATAAACCATGTATGGGTATTGTGCAAGATACCTTATGTGGTGTCAGAAAGATGACGCTTCGTGATAGTTTTATCGAATACGACCAAATGATGAACATCCTGTTCTGGATTCCAGGATGGGATGGTGTCGTTCCAGAACCAACGATCTTGAAACCTAAGCCATTGTGGACAGGTAAGCAAATGTTGTCTATGACAATTCCAAAAGGTATCCATCTTCAAAGATTTGACGAGGGAACTACATTGCTTAGTCCGAAGGATAATGGTATGCTTATCGTGGATGGTAAGATCCTTTTTGGTGTCGTTGATAAAAAGACTGTAGGTGCTACTAATGGTGGTTTGATCCACACCGTCATGAGAGAAAAGGGTCCAAGAACTTGTGCCGATTTGTTTGGTAACATCCAGAAGGTGGTGAACTTCTGGTTGCTCCACAATGGTTTTTCTATTGGTATTGGTGATACCATTGCCGATGCCTCCACTATGAAGGAAATTACGGAGGCCATTGCTATTGCAAAGGAAAAGGTAGAAGAAGTCACACTTGAAGCACAACAAAACAGATTAACTGCTAAGCATGGTATGACACTGAGAGAATCGTTTGAAGATAACGTGATCCGTTATTTGAACGAGGCTCGTGATAAAGCAGGTCGTTCTGCAGAGATTAATTTGAAAGGCCTTAATAATGTGAAACAGATGGTGAGTGCTGGTTCCAAGGGTTCTTTCATTAACATTGCCCAGATGTCCGCTTGTGTGGGCCAACAGTCGGTTGAAGGTAAACGTATTGCTTACGGCTTTGCTGACCGTACCTTGCCACACTTTTCCAAGGATGATTACTCTCCAGAGTCAAAGGGTTTCGTCGAAAACTCTTATTTAAGAGGATTGACACCACAAGAATTCTACTTCCACGCTATGGGTGGTCGTGAGGGTTTGATTGATACTGCCGTGAAGACAGCTGAAACTGGTTATATTCAACGTCGTCTTGTCAAGGCCTTGGAAGATATCATGGTCCATTATGATGGTACCACTAGAAATTCCATGGGTAGTATCATTCAATTCATCTATGGTGAAGATGGTCTCGACGCTGGTCACGTTGAGAAGCAAACCATTGATACCATTCCAGGTGAAGATGCAGCGTTCGAGAAGCGTTATCGTGTTGATTTGATGAGCGAAAAGACTTCTATCAGACCGCATCTACTGGAATCTGGTCGTGATATCATTGGTAACACTGAGTTGCAAGCTACATTAGATTCCGAGTACGATCAGTTAGTGGAGGACCGTAAGTTCTTGAGAAAAGTCTTCATTGACGGTGAACACAATTGGCCATTGCCTGTCAATGTTCGTCGTATCATTCAAAATTCTCAGCAGATCTTCCACGTTGATCGTTCTAAGGCTTCTGACCTGACCTTGGATGAGATTGTCACAGGGGTTCGGAAACTATGCCAAGGCCTACTTGTTCTTCGTGGTGATAACCCACTGGTCAAGGAGGCCCAAGAAAATGCTACTACTTTGTTCCAATGTTTGTTACGTTCTCGTTTGGCTTGTCGTCGTGTCATTGAAGAATATCGCCTTAACAGAGTTGCGTTCAACTGGGTTTTGGGTGAAATTGATGCTCAATTCCAAAGGGCTGTTGTTCATCCAGGTGAGATGGTTGGTATTGTGGCCGCTCAATCTATTGGTGAGCCAGCTACTCAAATGACCTTGAATACTTTCCACTTTGCTGGTGTGGCTTCCAAGAAGGTTACATCTGGTGTTCCTCGTTTGAAAGAAATTTTGAACGTTGCAAAGACCATGAAGACTCCATCTTTGACAGTTTATCTTGAACCAGAATACGCTTCTGATCAAGAAAAGGCAAAGGAGATCAGATCTGCTATCGAGCATACCACTTTAAAGAGTGTTACGGTTGCTACTGAAATTTACTACGATCCAGATCCAAGGTCTACGACTATCGAAGATGACGAGGAAATGGTTCAGTTGCACTTTGAAATTCCTGATGAGGAAACTGAAGCTACATTGGATAAACAATCTCCATGGTTGTTGCGTATCGAATTGGATCGTGCTGCTATGAATGATAAAGATTTGACCATGGCCGAAGTTGGAGAGAAGATTAAGGAGACTTTCAAGGATGATCTCTTTGTTATCTGGTCTGAAGATAACGCTGAAAAGTTGATTATCCGTTGTCGCGTTGTCCGTGATCCTAAGAACTTGGATCCAGAGTCTGAAGCTGAAGAGGATCAGATGTTGAAGCGTATTGAGAACAATATGTTAGAAGCTATTACTCTGCGTGGTGTTCCAGATATTACTCGTGTTGTCATGATGAAATACGACCGTAAGCTTCCAGATGAAACTGGTAAATATGTTAAGGTTCCAGAATGGGTCTTGGAAACTGACGGTGTCAACTTAGCAGATGTTATGTGTGTCGAGGGTGTGGATTCTACACGTATTTACACCAACTCCTTCATTGATATCTTACAAGTTTTGGGTATCGAAGCTGGCCGTGCTGCTCTCTATAAGGAAGTTTACAACGTTATTGCCTCTGATGGTTCTTATGTGAACTATAGACATATGGCTTTGTTAGTTGATGTGATGACCTCTCGTGGTCACTTGATGGCTGTCACTCGTCATGGTATCAATAGAAACGACACGGGTGCATTGATGCGTTGTTCTTTCGAAGAAACTGTTGAAATTCTGTTTGAGGCTGGTGCAGCTGCAGAGTTGGATGATTGTCGTGGTGTTTCCGAGAACGTTATACTGGGCCAGTTGGCTCCTATTGGTACTGGTGCGTTTGATGTTATGGTTGATGATTCCATTCTCAAGGCTCTGCCTACAGCTACAGAGAACCAGGGATATGCACGCACTGAATATGGCGATGGTGGTTCTACACCTTATGATTCCGCTAACATGCCTGGCCAAGGTGTGGTTGAGGGTACAGATGATGTTATGTTCTCTCCGATTGTTGAATCTGGTCAGATGCCAGTTAATGCTGGTGGATTCACCGAGTACGGTAGCGGTACAGATTATGCTACATCTCCTGGTATGAGTGCCAACTCGCCATTCGGCTATGGATATGGAGCTACCTCACCAGCTACGAATGCTACATCACCAGGCTACTCTGTTACTTCACCAGCGTACAGCGCAACCTCTCCATCATACAGTCCAACGTCTCCATCGTACAGCCCAACATCACCAAGTTACTCACCAACATCTCCATCGTACAGCCCAACATCTCCATCGTACAGTCCAACGTCTCCATCGTACAGTCCAACCTCTCCATCGTACTCTCCAACATCACCATCATACAGTCCAACATCACCATCATACTCACCAACCTCACCATCATACTCACCAACCTCACCATCTTATTCACCAACATCGCCATCTTATTCACCAACATCACCATCATACAGTCCTACGTCACCAAGCTACTCACCAACATCACCTTCCTATAGTCCAACATCACCGTCATATTCCCCAACATCACCATCATACAGTCCAACATCTCCATCTTACTCGCCAACCTCGCCTTCATACTCACCTACATCACCATCGTACTCACCTACATCACCAAGCTATTCCCCAACTTCGCCATCATACAGTCCAACCTCGCCATCATACAGTCCAACCTCGCCATCATACTCACCAACCTCTCCTTCCTATTCACCACCTAGATCACCATCTTATTCACCAAAGGATGACGAGAAGAAGGATGAAAATGGCAAGCAGGTGGATAAGTGAGCAAGTTTGCTTGAAGAGAACAAAAGAAATGAAATGTAAATTATCTTACTTAAAGAGTTGTTATATACCTAAAGGGATAAACGTTAAACGAACAGAAGATGCCATGATATGTAGAATTAAAGAACGCTAAACATATGCCTTTTTAGAGATGAGGTTGTTGAACATATCAAATGAGTTACCATCAGGCTGGAGATGGTACTTTTGACCACACACCCTTCCATGGACATCCATCTCCTGAGCCACCAATAAACCAAAGTCGTCGGTGATTCCAGTAATCATTGCACGTGTATTTCCATAGTCTTGCAATCTCACCACTTGGCCATCATGTAACCAGTGCGAATAGTATAGTGGCAGCAGAGGCTTGAACCCAAACTGTTTGAACTTGTTGAACAAAGTATCCATTTGGTACATGTATTTTGCCAATAACAGCTCAGGTGAGATGTGCTCGAGCTGTTTGTTGTTGAATTTATTCCATGCTGTTATAGTAGAGTTGACTGAAGTTGTTGGTTCAGAATTGGAGAGATTGATACCAGCACCAACAATACACTTGTAGTTCTTCCCAATGACATTTGTATTGACAAGTATACCACATATCTTGACCCACGCCGGTTCAGAGTCATTTGGTGACAATTTCTGTCCAAAGTATTCTGGTTTCATGGCATAGATGTCATTAGGCCATTTGATCTTTATAGGCAACTCTTCATAGCCTGGTCCCATGGATTTGATAGCCTCCACGTATGAGAGAGCAGTCAAGTATTGGATGAATACAACTGGAGCATGAGTGTAAGCCAATGGCAAGTCCAGGATTAGAGAAGATGCAAGAACACCATATGGGTTGATCCAAATGTTACCACCACGGCCACGGCCAGAGACCTGGACACTGGCAGCCAAAAGCGTTCCTGATGGTAAGTGTCTTAACAACGATATGTTGGAGTTTGGCATGGCACTGGTTGAAGTGACAACTTCTCCGTAGAACAAGATTGATCCTGCTCTTACTCTATCCAGAGCACCATAAGACTCTCTTAAGTAACGGAAATAGTTGTTGATGTCGAAGTAGAATGTAAGTTTCCTCTCTGGGATCTCCTTTGTGAAAGCAATCAGCTCTTTTGTCACAGTATCTGGGTCTTCCAACTCCTCCTGTTTATCCATGTGACTTGAGATCTCTGTTTCGTCAATATGCAGACGGAAGTTATCAGTTTCACATTTGAGTAAATTACCATCAGCTGCGACATCGGCTGTCAAATCGTCAATGATAGATTGCACAGCACCCGAGATCGGTGACGAAAGCAAGAGAGGAGTCAGACGAGGTCTCACGATCTCATCGTCATTGACCTTTAGTCCTAATCTCAACAGACATGCTCTGAGGAATTTCTTTCTAACTTCATCGTTCTCTTTCAGCAGCTTCACGGTTTCAAGGTAGCTTGGCTCTTGGGAGCTATGCATCATCTCTGGGACGAATTCTGGATGAGTACCGGTGAGTATCACATCACCTTCACGAACCTTACAATGAACAATCGCAGATGCTCTTGTATCATCACCCTGATCAACGTGGACTTGTTCCTTGTACGATGCCAGCACAGTAACGTTGTCGTACTTCTCAGCATCTACAAACACTGCTCCTCCGTTGTAGTAGTTCAGGCATTCTTCACCAGCCTCCATCTCAAGCAGTTGTGGGTTCACATCCAACGCCACTGCCAGAGCACCAGCTTCATTCCCGTATTGGAACCCTTTGAAGGCACAGCCTCTAGCGATTCCTGGGAAGAACTTCAACTCTCTTTTACCTGAAACCTCCATCATTGGATCGCCAACTTCAAACTCAACTTTATCCGAGCAGTAGTAGCCACCAGAGCAGAATCCCAACAGCTTACCACCTCTGGAGACAAAATCTCGAATCACCTTGTTACCTTTCCCGTTCAGCTGCTGGCACACAGGTAAATCAGCACCACCGGGAATCACCAGCAGAGAGGTCTTTGAGCTCCAGGGCTCATTGAGCAAGGTCTGCGTACCCACGCCTATCACCGCATAGTGAGGTGAAAGGAATCGACGCAGCGATTCCAAACAGTGCTTGACAGAGTCCGGGGAAGTGCCAGGACCTAAAACCATCGGTTAGTCTGTTGATCTCATACCATTGAGCATCCGAGACATATCTCTACGGCATTAGAGAAAAGAAGCCAGAGACACTAACAAGAAAGAAACCCCCACTCACCAGCATATACAAGGACATTCATCTTATGGCACACCTGTTTGATGCCTTGTACCAACGTCACTTTGAGCAAGAAAGAGCACCTTTGTTAGGATAAAACCAGAGATAACGATGTTGTTGATGTTCCTCGGTGATGTCCAAAGTGCTGCGATGGTGACAGAGCCGGGGGACCGGCGTGGCCGAACCGCGGAACCCCCACGCCAACGCCGACGGTGGGGTAAGACTGATTACGTAAGCTTATGCTTATGTAATCAATTGCTACGGTAGGGGCACTACCACTCACGTGACTCCCTTCCTCATGTTGGAGTGGAGCGTCTTCCGCCTGTTAATTGCAGTGCTCTCACTACAATCGACCTCTATTAGCCGACTGTTTGGCATCGAGTGAGCTTACAAGAGCACTACGCAACGTCGCTACCAACTGATTGGGCTGTTGGCATTGTTTCCTGGCCCACTCTGCGATCCCCAACAAACCCCTTCGCCGAGGTTCGGTATTAAAATTTCAACCGAAGACTCACTTCACCATCAAGAGATCATTGCCTGAGAGTTGGACTTACACCGTTATAAACCGTGACAAAACGATAGATGATGTCTATGCTGCTAAGATCACCATCTGTGGGCATCTCACGCAGGATTTTATGGAGTTTTCCGTCAAAGTCCCATATCCTCAACCCATTCAAGCCAGACATAAAGAGAAGGGCATTCCACGGTGCGATGATGCTTTCGAAGAATGAGATCCGTAACATCAACTCCACGATTGAGAGGTCGAAGGAGCGAGCCAAGGAGACGGCAACCAAGCTGAAGGAGATGCTGCCGGAGCACGAGAACATTTATACGATTCCGAATATGCTGACGATGACGAGGCTCATCAGTGCCCCAGTGATTGGCTTTCTCATACTGAAGCACAAGATTTGGCTAAGCTTTGGGCTGTTCGCCTACTCCTCGGTCACAGACTTCATAGATGGGTACATTGCACGGAAGTACAACATGAAGTCGGTTGTCGGCTCAGTCATTGACCCGATGGCTGATAAGATGCTCATGGTGATCTGCACAGGATGTCTTGCGATGATTGGACAGATGCCCATGTACTTGGCCGTCATAATCCTCGGAAGAGACGGGCTATTGGCACTGTCTGCCATATACTACCGTTATATATCACTGCCACCTCCAAAGACGTTTGCAAGATACTGGGACTTTAGCATTCCAAGTGCCCAGGTCTATCCTACAACGATTTCCAAGTACAACACTCTCTTTCAAATGGTTTACGTTGCAGGAGAGGTCATCAGGCCAGCAATGATCACACTTGTTGATCCTCAAGTGATACCCATGGTTGATACCGGGTTCCAATGCTTTGGTGCCTTTGTAGGATTGACGACGATCTTGAGTGGACTGAGCTACGTTTTCAGTAAAGATGCTGTGAAGATCTTGACAAAGAAGTGAACCACCATCTTTTCTTTGGTTGTTATATAGAGCTACATATAGAATGAGTGCATCACCAGTTTCCAATCATCTACTAATCACAATGTCGTCGATTCTCAAGATCGACTTGACGGTTTCAGCAGCCAGTGTAATGGCACTTGTACTCACCAGTACAGGCTGTAAGACATGCTCTTCATATGTATTCGTTGCACCGGAACGACGAGCAGAGATACCAGCATTACGTTCACCATTCTCGTGTTTGCTTCTAAGGTCAGTGACAACGTTGATGGCATTCAACCCAGCATTCTCGGCCAAAGTTGTTGGGATCACCTCCAATGCATCGGCGAATTCTCTCCAGATGAAGGATTCCGTACCACTAAGAGCGATGGATTCCTTCATCAGTTGACGTGAAACCTCAATCTCTGGAGCACCACCACCGGCAATCAACGCCTTCTCCTTAACAAGACAACGGATTACACACAGGGCATCGTGCAATGAACGTTCAGTTTCGTCCAAAACCATATCGTTGGCACCACGGCATACAACACTAACGGTAGGGTGGGTCACGTTCTTGACACCTGTGATCTTGACAATCTTTGAGCCTGAGCTCTCAATCTCCTCAATAACATCTGCAGATCCCAATCTGTCTTCTGTGAAGAGTTCAATATCGGAGATTGGCTTACACGACAAGGACTTGGACAAGAATTCAATCTCTTCACGCTCAATGTCCTTAATGACCATGATACCCAATCTTGACAAGAAATGGAGAGCCAGGTCGTTCACAGCATCTCTCAAGATCGACTTCTGTATCAACAACACGTTACATTTAGCCTTCTTGATCTTCTTACACATGTTCAAGATGTAAGCTCTCTCCTCCTTCAAGATCTTGTCCATCTGTCTGTAGTCGTTGACAACAACGTTGTTCTCCATATCAGGCTTTGGAGGGGATAACTGGAACTGAACAAGGCCAATACGTGCCTTTTCGACACGAGTTGGTCCACCTGCGGACTTCACAACGGTTTGCGTCAACACCACGCCAGGAACGAGCTCGGTGTCGTCGATCGTACCACCCACCTTCTTGATGAGTCTAATATCGTTCAGGTCAACGTTGTTCGCATCCTTCTCGACAACCCTCAGGACAGAGTCAACAGCCAATGGGGCCAGCAGGTGTGAATGCTGGCCAACAATCTTGGAGCTCAACGAGGTTGAAGCAGCTCTGATCAGAGCATCGCGGTCTCCAAGGTCGATCTTGGTGGACATGTCCAACAGGATCTCCACGGATCTCTGCGCAGCACGCTGGAAAGATTCAGCAATCTGCGTTGGATGGATACCTTTGTTCAACAACTTATCAGCAGCACCCAACAGCGCACCAGTGATGATGACAACACTGGTGGTACCATCACCGGCCTCAACGTCCTGAGCACCAGACACATCCACCAGCATCTTCGCAGCAGGATGAAGCACCGCCATGTGCTTCAAGATCGTGTGACCATCGTTTGAGATCAACACCTCTCCCTTACCAGTCTTGATCATCTTGTCCATACCCTTTGGACCAAGAGACGTTCTGATGGCATCGGCAACGGCTCGAGCAGCGAGGATGTTCGCACGACGCACCTCCTGTGGCTTCTCCTTGTTCTTGAACTGGGCGTTAGTCGGTTGTACCTTTGTAGCCATTTCCACCGTGTTTAACGTGAGCTGAATTGAACAGAGAGACGGGCCTTCTGGTGAGAGTTTGAAAGCTTTTTGGCGATGTTTTCGCTTTCGCCTTCGCCGTTGGAGGGCACAGAGGCAAAAAAAAACAAACATCGACAGGGTGGCGTAAATTTCAGAACGGCCCACCCTAGGGTGCGTAAAATACAGCACGAATATATAAACATTTTCCAGTATGAGCTCATCTCTTCATTAATACCCATCTTTCTTCAGCAGAAGTTGTATTGATCGTAGCAGAGGAAAGATGTCTGATACGCACGTGTTTGAAGATATCCCGCTGTCGAGAGAGCAGGTTGTCAATTGCTCCTTTTCCAACTGGTATTGGAGGTATAAGAGCCATGTTCCGAAGAGTCGTGTTATCAAGCCGTTACCACAGAGCTTTATGGAGTACCTGGGAGCTGACGGGATAGTTCTGCCTGAAGATGGCCACTACGAGGTTGAGATGGGCGATGGTGACGGTGAGTATAGCGACTGGTCTGACGAGGACGGCGGTGGTGATGGTGGTGGTGATGACGAAGGTGATGACGATGATGATGATGATGATGATGATGATAGCGAAGCTGATAAAACTGATGCCTCCAAGGACCAACAGAAGGTCTTCGCACAGTTCCAGGATGTCCATGACCAGATCAAACAGACCATCAAGGAGTGGGGAGCTGTCACGCCAAAGCTCAACTGGAGTGCCCCCAGAGATGCCACCTGGATCCTGCCCTCAAACACGATGAAGTGCACCAACGCAAGTGACGTCTACCTCTTGCTGAATGCCTCCAACTACGTGATGCACGACCTTGCTCATGCCTTTGATGATGTGACCACCAAGGAGGGCGACGAGATCAAGGAGACACAGACCGAATTCGAGCTGGTGCTGAGGAAATGGGTGAACATCAACCCTGCGCTGGAGTTCAGGGTATTCGTGAAGCAGAATGAGATAGTTGGCATATCGCAGAGAGACTTGAACTACTACGACTTCTTGAAACCTTTGGAGTCAACGATACGGGAACTGGTCGAGACGTTCTTTGACGAGGTACTTAGAGAAACGTTCCCAGATGACGACTACGTGTTTGACGTGTATCTCCCTCGTCCTTTTGACAAGACTTTCCTCATCGACATCAATCCATTTGCGAGGGTTACTGACTCGCAGCTGTTCACGTGGCATGAACTGTCTCAATTGACACCACAGGATGACTATGAACTGAGGCTAGTAACGGAGGTGAACAAGGGAAGGTTCGCGGTCAAAGAACATACAGAGAACCAGGTTCCAAAGGACGTTGTTGATGCAAGCTTAGACTCCAATGCTATGGCTGAGTTGGCCAAGCAATGGCAGGAATTACAAATGAAGGCAGAGAAGTAGAGGAGCTTTTCTATTATCCATATCAAGCCAGTTTGGGCGTGATGACAATCTTGTCTTGTAGATGACCCAGTAGGTAGTTGCCCCGTTCATCGATTTCATTTTCACCTAGTTGGCTATCACCACCACGCTTCATACAGACGAGTTGTTGTAGAAATGCAGTGTTTGATCCTTTACTGACATCCATAATCACGTTGCCGATCTTCACGCTTAGCTTGCCAGATCTGTGTACTCTCAGAGTGGCGATCTGTCCCTCGAGTTGAGGTTTGACAGGCTCAACATTATCCTCTTCAGAGATTTCAGGCTTGACCTCATTGGTTGTTTCGAATTCAGGCAACACTCTAGGGAGTTGAAACATCAAGTAGCTCGCTGGATCGTTATTCAACTTGGTGATTGCTTCAGCAATGTCCTTGTGGTCTTGTGCCAGCCTTGCATCATCTTCAGCAGCTTCATCCACTTGTAGTTGATCAAGGTTTATGTGTAACTGGTGGTCCTTCGTGGCTAGCACGTTCTTTAGAGTACCATCATCAGGCTCTGGTGTTGTTGAACGGCTAGAATTCATCAACGTATCTTGTTCTGATGTAACATGTTCTCTTGGTGCCCTCACAGGGAAAAGCTCAGTTTCTTCTTTACTGAATCTATACTCTTGGTTCATATTGATCTTGGATAAATCACCTTCATCGTCACTGTCCTGTGGACCCACGCTTCCTTCCCTAGACCCTTCCTCACGCTTAACCAGGCTGGAGAGAAACCCAGGGGTCGGACTCCTTGTTGTCGACCTACTAAAGTTCTGCTTTGTATCGCTTAGGACGTTACCACTTGCCAACGGACCTGCTTGCACGAGATGAGTACCTTGCAGAGCCCTATTAGCACCACCTCTACCACCACGACCACCACGCAAACCACCGCGCATACTTCTCTGGTGAGGTTTATCGGTGGGCTCAGCTGCAGTCGCTGGGGCATTGGCATCACGTTCCTCTTTGGTTCTTCTGGCAATGTTCTTCGGTTTGAATTTACCAGCTTTAGGACCACTTGAAGATGCCGGGCCAGCAGGTGCTCTACGACTCAATGAGTCCAATCTGGAAGAAGTTGGGATCTTGTCACTCATTTTAGCAAGCACACCAATCTAGAGGCAAAATACAACAACGAACAACACACTGACAAACAAATAAAGAACAAAATACCCGTGAGTATGCTCTAAATTATGTCCTCAAAGGAATTTTTTTCCCTTGATTCGTGGGCCGGAATTCACCAGCTCATCGCCCTCGAATCTGCCTCGAAGCGACCCAAGACAAAAAAAAATTCTGATGCAGTGTAAAGAGACATAAAAGAAAATCTTTCAAAGTGCTTAAACCATAGCAAAGTTCTGTCATCTCTTCAGTTGCGACAAGATGAGTGCTGAAGACTATGGCTTAGATGACGTAGATGCGTTCCATGCCGAAAAGGACAAGATCCTCCTCAGTCAAGGGATACAGCAGAGGGGCAGACGTTCTCAATATGACGACGATGAGAGCGATGAGCAAGTGATGGATATTGACAGCGGCGACGAAGATGAAGATTCACAAGACGAAGAGTTCTTCGGTAAGAAGCACTCTGATGAAGAGCTTGGTTCTGAAGATGAAGGTGCCTGGGGTGATAAGAAGAGTAATTATTATGGTGCAGATGACTTGGAGGATGAGGAAGCTGCGAAGGAGATTGAACAAGAAGCTCTTCGTCAGCAGAAGAAACATCTGCAACAGTTGAACATGGATGACTATGTTGATGAAGAGATGGAGTTGGAATGGACCAAATCTGCAAAGGAACACGATTTTGGTGATCTGAAAAAGCAAGAGTTGGAACAAGAAGAGACCGATATTGCATCGATGGATGCAAAGACAAAAAAGAAATATTTGACAGCTTCACATCCAGAGTTCATCCCACTGGCGAAAGAGCTGGCTAAATGGAAACCTGTTCTCGATTCATTGAGCAAGAATTCAAAAGATGAAGTAGTGGTTGCGAAATACTTGGCCCTGAGTGCATACCTTGGCGCTATATCATCGTATTTCGCTCTGTTCAGAGCATTTTCACTCGAGGGTGAACCATTTACAATGAAAGACCATGAGGTTATGGAGTTAATTCTTAGCTCGAAAGAAGTATGGAGACAGGCTAATGAGCTAGAAGAAGGCCATGTGGAGCCTGAAGAAGCCGAGCATCAAGAGGAAGAAGACGAGGAAGAGGAATTCCACTCATTCGATGAAGATAACCAGCAATATGAGATCGAGGAAGATTCAGAAGATGCAAAAGAACTTGATCAACAAGAAGATGAATCATCAGATAGTGAGCTTGATATTGATATATCCAAACCTCGTGTCTTCAAACAGGCTAAGCAGCCAACCATATCTGAAGACTTTGCAGAGGGTGAGATTGCAGATGTGGATGCAGAAGAGAAGAAAACTCGTAAGAAGACATTGAGATTCTACACTTCCAAAATTGATCAACAAGCACGTAAGAAGGATGAGAAGTTCTCTGGTGATCAAGATATTCCGTATAAGGAACGTCTTTACCAACGTCAGCAAAGACTCATCGAAGAAGCACGTCAACGTGGTCTTCAACAAGATCAAGGTGCAGAGCTTGACGATTACGAATCAGAAGATGAAAAGACTGTCTCACAGTCGAATGGCCTGGATGATTCTTTATACCAGCAGGTCAAATCGTCAAGAGACGCTTCAAAGACCAAACGTCGTGAAGCTCATGACTTGGCTGTGCGTGCTGCTAAGGAAGGTCGTCTTGCTGAACTCCAAGAAAACATTGGTGAAGATGGTAAACGTGCAGTGAATTACCAGATTTTGAAGAATAAAGGTCTCACACCTCATAGAAAGAAAGACAACAGAAACTCTCGTGTCAAGAAGAGAAAGAAATACGAAAAGGCTCAAAAGAAACTCAAATCTGTTAGAGCAGTATTCGAACAACCAACGGGTGCTTATGCTGGTGAAAAGACAGGTATCAAGAAAAACCTTTCCAAATCTGTCAAGTTCTAACCATGTTTATGTTTTTATCTCGATCAATTACCTTCGAGGGCTTCCATTCGTAGAGAAATTCCCAATCTGGGCAATAGATCTTCAACAGCTCGACCTTTTATTTAATGATGACTTTGTACTTTCATGTAATCCTTTGAGATCTTTTGGTAATGGCGTTGAGAGTACAGCATAGCTCTGCATCATGGATGTAAGAAGCTACCTGCAGATAGGCGAGCTTGTGATATAATTTCATAAGTGATCTTGTCAACCATAACATGCATTAAGTAGAGAAGATAACATCTACCTGATCGGGACGATGGTTGGTGTTTGTCTTTGAACAACCTGGTTTAAACAATTCACGGGAATGTATGGCATACCGCACACGGTACGTTATTGAGCGTACAGACTGTTTCAATAGTTGTACTCGGGAGTCGAAGACTACCGATACTTCGGCCCCCTTACCAGACTTACCAGCATGTACAAGACTCTTTTCTGTATACCTTGTTAAAGATCTTGAAATGTGTGGCAAAGCAGTAAATGATTTATTTTCACCTTCGTCCATGGCCTCTTAAGTTATTATACGTGTCAATCTTTTCCCTCGAACCAATTGCAGCTTTAGACAGAAGAAAGAAGGGGCCAATATATGCTCAAAGCACGATGGACTGAATGCGATTAAGATAAATCGGATTGTAAGGCACATGTTGTCATTCAATTACCGTTATTGTCTCTTCAAGCACAGCGGTGTCATTTTATAAGGATAATGACACTGATGGTTTCACGATTATATGACAACTGCTTTCAATAACGAAAATATATTCCTGTGAAAGTTGCAGTTATCCAGAACCTTAAAGCGTGGTGAGCAAGAGCTAATGTCTTCTTCGAAATCTCCCTTCATTGAGTGTAGCATTAAGGTAGCATATTCTATCATGAACTGACAAATTTTATCTTGTTCCGAACACAATTATTTAACATTGCCATCGAGTTTTGAACCTCTTGAGAATGTCCTATGCCTCATTGTTGTGATTGTAAATCGTCAAAGAGCATGATTTCCAACACATTGCATACGTGACTCTCAGCGATGATGATACAGCAGCCATACGTTCCTATACGAACAGATTCTTATTTATGCCGTCATCTTGAAGTCCCTTGATGCCCGGAATAATATGTTGGCCATCCTGCACACCTCAGTATTGATTGCTTTGTTCTTCAGACATTGTCTCTGTTGAAGCTCTTCACTCTTCGAAATCACACCTTTGCAATCATAATAACAGCACATAGACATCTGTAAAACAAACCTCATCACTCTACTACCTACTCCTCAACAGTAAATCCTCATCATCTGTCGAATGTGAGTTGTGTCTTTAACAACCCAACCGCTGATACCAAAGCTTCTATAAGTGTGTCGCAACTAACTGCCACTTCCATACCGCTGTCTTAACAAACACATCCACACACAGCACCGCCATCACAGTCCAAAAATCCCTAAAGTGCAACCACCAACAGGTCCAGCAACCTTACCCGCTGTGCGTGTTTATCGTAACAGATAAGCAAAGTAGACAAAGGTAAACAAAGGTAAACAAAGAAGCCCGCGCTTATCTTCATCGGTATGGCCACCAACACATACTTCCCCTACCGAAACCCCGCTAATCGGCTCCTTGAGACTTGCCACAATTACTCTTGTACAATGTAATGTAAACATACCCAACAACAGCGATAACAAGCCAGATAAAGCACTCCTTCTCACCGTTTTCATTTCAAAGCAAATGTCACACAAGAATACTTTCCTTTCAGGGGTTTTTGGTGCTCAGTCGCATCTTCACGACACGGAGCTGTCGAACGTACACACTGCGGTAGATGAGATACACGATAGTGATATCTCCACAAGGACAAGGGAAAGGCCCATAATTGAGTCTGAGGAAGAGAGCGATCTGGAAAATACGGATAGCTCGGAGGATGAGTACCGGCACCTGCTAAACAGCGGGATGAGTGAAGCTAACTTGATGGATGGCTTGGACTCGAGGGTGCCCAATGGTCACCATGTTGAACTGGAAGATGACGATGTTCCCATGTCTTTAATGGTTGGCCAGAACACATCTGAAAGAGATTATATACCCACTAGGGAGCGTACCAGTTTCGAGGGGGCTTCGTCGAATGGCCAAGGACAGTCTCGCCCACCACAAATTGCCTATAGGAAGGATGATGATACCAGGAATCCAAATGAAGCTCTCAGGGCAGAAGAAGAGCGTACAAGGAGGGCCAAATTGGGCATTTTGAATCCAAGAGAAAGAGCGCTTTGGAAATGGGCAAACGTGGAGAATTTAGACAAGTTCTTACAGGATGTGTATTCGTATTATTTGGGGAGTGGATATTATTGTATTCTCATCACCAAAAGTTTGGACCTTTTGACATTGATATTTGTTGTTTTCTTTGCCACATTCCTTACATCGTGTATCGACTATTCCAAGCTGAAGCTGCCAGCTTCTAGAAGCCTAGATGATATCACTGTGGATCAGTGTTACTCAAATATAGGCGTTGGTGGAAAGCTGTGTCTTTGGCTTTTTTATGCTTACGTGGCACTGAAGGCTGTTCAGCTATACATGGATACAAAGGACTTGAACGAATTGTACAACTTCTACAACTACCTGCTTGAAATCTCAGATAACGATCTTCAGACTGTGTCCTGGCAAGTGGTGGTATCTCGTATTATGTTACTTAAGGATCAGAATGCAGTAAGCTCAAACGTTTCTAATGCCAAGTCAAAGAGACAAATAGATGCTCACCATATTGCAAACAGAATCATGAGAAAGGAGAATTACTTTATCTCCTTGTTCAACAAGGATATTTTGGACTTATCATTGCCTATAACCGGGCTTAAACAGAACACATTGACAAAGACATTGGAATGGAATCTACAATTGTGTATATCTGGCCTTGTCTTCAACGAGCATGGCCAGATTCGTCAACAGTTCCTAAAGGAATCTAGTCGCCGGGAATTAGCTGAAGAGTTGAAGAAAAGGTTCAGATTGGCTGCCATTTTCAACATCATTTTGTCCCCAATCTTGGTTGTTTATTTCCTTTTGCTCAATTTCTTCAGATACTTTAACGAGTACAAGAGAAACCCTGGTTCCATTGGGACCAGACAATATACACCCTTGGCTGAGTGGAAATTCCGTGAATTCAATGAATTGTATCATCTATTCCAAAGACGCTTGAACCTCAGTGTCCCGTTGGCATCTCATTACGTTGATCAATTTCCCAAAGAGAAGACCGTGGTGTTGCTAAAGTTTGTTGCGTTTGTTTCTGGTTCATTTGCTGCTGTATTGGGTATCCTATCAATTGTGGATCCAGATATGTTCTTCAACTTTGAAATCACTAAAGATCGCACGGTTCTCTTTTACATCAGTGTATTCGGTACAATATGGGCAGTGTGTCATGGTGCTATTCCTGAAGAGTATGTCGTTTTCGATTCAGAGGCAAGTCTTTTGAAGGTTTCAGAGTATACGCACTATCTTCCGCAATCATGGAAAGGTCGTTATCACACAGAAGAGGTTAAGACGGAATTCTGTGAGTTGTTCACGCTGAAGCCGTTACTCTTAGCGAGAGAAATTGCCAGTCTCGTCATTACACCATTCATTCTATGGTTCTCCTTACCAAACTCTGCTGATCGTATAGTGGATTTCTTTAGGGAGTTTTCTGTACACGTTGATGGATTGGGATATGTGTGCACATTTGCAATGTTTGACTTTGATAAGACCAAATCTGCCAAGAAGATGAAGAAGAATCCAAAGGGAAAGATATATAACCAAAGCGAGGAGAAGATGATGAAATCTTACCTTTACTTTTTGGACAGCTATGGGAATAATGAAACTCATCGCAATGGCGATGCACCTGTTCCTACAAGCTCTAACAAACCATTGTCGTTGCAGCGTAAAATTTACGATAAAGCTGCTAAAAGCACTCAAAATTCCATGGTATTGGATCCATTACAGAAGAAGTTAGGACTGAGAGAACGATTCAACAACACAGATGTATATGATCTTCATCAGCTGGGTGGCTCATTCATCACCACATTACCCAAGACAGACGTGCACAAGGAGGTGGACGAATCAAAAAATCCAGGTGTTTTGGGCTTGTTGAACGAGTTCTATAAGGACTACCAAATATCGCAGTGAGTCAAATATTCAAGGAATTGGATCGATTAAGAAGGATGCTTTTGTTATACAACATATGCGTGCGATCACTTCTTGCCCTTACGCAGTTTCTTCTCTCTTTCGTATTCATTCTTCTCTGCACCTTCCACGGTATTGATCTGGTTCATGATTCTAGCCATCTTGGTGTGGTATGCAGCATAAGATTCCTTCTTCTCCTTGATCTGTTGTCTGGCCTCGAATCTTGTATCCTTACGCAGCTCACGAAGGGCAATCTTACGCTCTTGTTTCACCTGTGCACGCATCTTGTTTGTCTCCTGTCTTTGTCTGTTTTCGTCATATGATTTCTTTTCTGGGTTGAAGTTCTCTTCAAACTTTGGTGCATATGTGGCAATGGCAAGCTTCTTATGCTCTTGTAAGGTCAATGGTTTACGCTCGTCCACTGAGAACTTGACGATTCTGTTGAACTTGTTTGCCAGTGTAGTCAAAGGTTTGAAATCAGGGTAAGATTCCTGGAACTTTGACAATATAGCAACGAAAGGTTGTGAAATCTCCAACAATGCAGTTTTATCTTTCCATGTGTCCAATGCAAGCTCAAGCGTTGACAAGAGATGGCTAAACAGGGAAACCTTATGGACATCTCCCAACTCACGATCGACGTCAGAAATGCGAAGTTCTTTAGCATCTTGAGATAATTGTGATGGCAATGGGAATCTTGAGTCTGGTGTTGCAGTGATACTACTGTCGGTGATTTCGATTGGTGCAATTGACAATAGTGCCTTTTGAAGGAAGAATACAACTTCTGGGATGTATCTCTTTGAATATCTTTGGTATAGCAAGAACACGTGAGCTATAAAGGCTCCACCAACAAGTAAGTTGAGTGATTTATACTTCAGCTGTTCCAATGCTTCACCCATGACTATTGACGTTGGAGTGACGACCAAGTGGTAATGATCTGAAGTTGAGTATATGAGACCAACAACTGTGAAGAAGGACAAATCTGAAATCATTGGGAAGACATCTTCACCGCTCAGTGATTCCAAAATACGCTCATGAATCTCTTCAATCTTATCACGCAAGGCTTCTGTGAGCTCTTTGTTGTATTTCTCCGAAAGCGTCTTAACCAAGGCGATGAGTTGTTCCTGGACTTGAGAAAAGTTTTCAGCTTCGGTCAAATTGGACTCTGACAGGTAGAGAACGTGCTGGAATAGAATCACTGTAAAAAGAGCGATCTTCTCTTTATTACCTTGCATAAGATGTGGTGCAAATGTCTTTATGATCTTTTTTGCCTGCTGTACAGTATCTTCAAATGGAATGTCCTCCAATATATCGAGCCATTCTTCGTGGGATTCAGGGCATGATGAGGAGGCAGTTGGTTGTGGCTCTGTATCATCGCCATCATCCTCGGATTCGATATCTTTCTGTGCTTCATCTTCAGATCCACTAACGACAAATCCTTCACCTTCATCGTCACTTCCCTGTGCCCAAAAGTCGTCATCTAAGTCATCTGGTCCTTTCTCAGCCTCGTCCATTGCCTCCATACGTCTCAGTCTTGCGTTCTCCAGCTCCCTCATTCTTTCAGCCCTTTCCCTCTTGATCTCTTCGTCTGTCTTGGTTCTATCGGATGGAACCGCACGTCTATCCATCGCCAATTCTTTGACTGTCATTTCATAACTCTTTGGTTCGTCGCCTGTGTAGACCTCTTTAACAGGTTTTTGCTTTGGGATTTGTCTCAAGTCACTCATAACATCTTCAAATTCCTCATCCAAGTCCATGATCTTCTCCTGTGCCTTTTCTTGGACGATTTGACGTTGTTGTTTGTAGAACTTAGACTTGGCAATGACCTCTTTCATAACCTCAGCCTTAGTCTTCTTCCTCTGTGGGAGTTGCTGATCAACCTCCTCGGTAGAAATATCATCCAATGAACGTTTCTTCGGTTTGAGGAAGTCGTCTTCATCAGAACCTTGCAGGTCGTCATCGGCTTCGAAATCGTCGTTCAACGCCAATGATTTACCATAATGGGTCAAACCATTCGAATCATAATCATCGAACCCGTCAGCTTCATCGTCCAAGCTGAACAATGACGTCTTAGACTGCATTTGCTTCTCCCTTGTGAAACGCTCGAGCATCTTCTGCTCTGGTGTCAACGAGGAATCAGACTCACCAAAACGTCTATCTCTGAGCATACCGGACTTGTTCTTCGAGGCCTTCTTTGACTGGTACGCAGCCATTCTCTGCTCTTCACCAATCTGCTTCGAGATACCAGGTTTACCTTGCCCACCTCTCATCTTCGAAGTGTCGTACTCCTTCTTCTTTCTATTCACCTTGATTTCGAACGGGTTGAACTGTTCTCTAATCTTCGAGATCACCTCCTGCTTATCATCCCTACGGGTATCTGACGGAGCCTTTTTCGTACCTTTTTTCTTCTTGACATTCGTCTGGCCCGTGAGCCCAGACTCCTTCAATGCAGCCTTCAACTGCTTCAACTGTGAGCCGGCCATTGTTATTCTCAGCTCTCTATTCCTGTGTGCTTTGAATTATGTCCTCATCGCTCTGAGCCGTGAAATTTTTTTTTGTATGCTCTTCGCTCTGCGCCTGGGAAATTCTAAAAACACACTCGCCACACTGTGTTACCGGATTCGTCACACACCCGCGATATGCCCCGAATATGGTAATCAGTGTGGCTAGTGACAAACAAGACCGCGAATATTGCCACATTGAAACAACACCCGGACACCACTACAGAAGGTAGCCAGGCCAGGTTGGCCATGCTCAGCGGCCATGTTCACCGGCCAGGTTCCAGTGGCCAAAACCAAACATCAACACCAAAATACACACAACGGTAAACAGAGCAGCTCGCCAATTACACTGGAATAGCACGGTAAACCACGCTGAAAAAATGTCAAGAGACGCCCAAATCAAAGCAGAGAAGGATTACACGGAGATCCTGGACGAGCAATTCCCTCAGATCGAGATCTTAGCGGAGGTGAGTGGTGATACGCATAGAAAGAGAGACGGTGTGTGGCAAAGCACACATCAACATTGCGATAGCATACTAACGTTGCCAATTAGACGGATTACACCAGTGCTCTTGAGAAGTATCTCTTGCTGGAGAAGCAGACACGTCAGGCGTCTGACCTGGCGTCGTCGAAGAGAGTGTTGTGTAAGATTGTTGATCTTTTAGCCTCGAAGAAGCAGTGGAAGTTGCTGAATGAACAGCTGGTGCTGTTGTCGAAGAAGCATGGCCAGCTAAAGCTATCCGTGCAGGCTTTTGTCCAGCAGGCGATGACATACTTGGATGCTACTGGCGATCTGGAGAGTAAGGTGGCGTTGATTGAGACGATTAGAACCATTACGGAGTCCAAGATCTTTGTTGAAGTGGAGAGAGCCAAGGTCACCAGAGAGCTCTCACACATTAGAAGAAGCGAAGGCAAAATCGACGAAGCCACTGACTTGCTTGTTGAGCTACAAGTTGAAACGTACGGTTCCATGCCGTTGAGAGAGAAGATGGAGTTCATCCTTGAACAGATGGAGCTGTGTATCCTCAGAGGTGACTTTACACAGGCCACGATTCTGTCTAGAAAGATCCTTATAAAGACACTACAACAGGCTGAGTACCAGGATATCAAGCTTCAGTACTATGAGCTCTTGATCAAGATTGGCTTGCACAACCATGAATACTTGAACATCACCAGATACTATCTCTCCATCTATGAGATTGAGTCTATCAAAGCAGACGAGACTAAGTGGAAGCCAGTGTTGACTAACATCGTGTATTTCATTGTGCTTTCTCCCTATGATAACATGCAGAACGATCTTATCAACAGAATCCAAACTGACACCAATTTGAAGAAACTGGAATTGCAACACAGACTGGTCCAATCGTTCATCACCCAGGAATTGATGAGATGGCCAATCATCAAGGAGATGTACCACTCTGAGCTGGAGTTGTCTGACGTCTTCAACCCAAAGTTTGAGACAAGTACTAAGCATTGGGAGGATCTACGCAACAGAGTCATCGAGCACAACTTGAGGGTGATCTCCACTTACTACACCAGAATCACACTCGCACGCTTGAACGAGCTCCTGGATTTGAAAGAGTCAGAGACTGAGCAGTTCATCAGTTTGTTGGTGAACCAAGGCACGATCTACGGTAAGATCAACAGACCGGCAAAGCTTGTTGAATTTGCCAAACCAAAGGACTCCAATGAGCTGTTGAACGAATGGTCCAACAACGTTGACTCATTACTGGGTCACATTGAAACCATTGGCCATCTAATCACCAAAGAAGAGATGATGGCTGGCATCAAGAGAAGATCCTAAAGCGAACAAGTCATCTCTTGTTATCTTCACGCCTTTTTTTAGCACTCTCCACCAATTCATCCCATCTCTCTGATAGCTTTCTCCTTGTACATTCGAGCTTGTAGTTCTCCCTCGTCAGTGCTTCGATCTTTGCTTCGTATCCCTGTTTCTTTACCTGCTCCTGCTCGTGGAGATCCCTCTTGAGCTGAGATAGATAGCTCTTCAAGTTTATCCTCACGCGCTTATGGAACGATTCGTAGAGCTGTAGATTCTCACTGCTCACGCTCAGCAGCTGTTTCAAGGTTGCATTCTCAAGCTCGAGCTCCTCAATGGTCTTCCCGGTGTGCTTAACGTCCAAGGGCTTAGCGTCGTCCAGTGCCACCATTGGAGGCTTCAGCAGGCTCATCACCTGTATTTGGAACCTGCTCACAGGGTCCATCTCGTCCTCCTTGCCCAACTGAATGCTCATCATCCCCCTGGCGGTCGCCAGTGACCCCACGATGCTGTCCTTTGGCTCCCTCTCCCTCTCCCTCACAGACGTCGATGTTGATGTTGATGTTGACGCCGACGCGGACGGCGTAGGCCGGCTCAAGGGCACATTCTCCATGCTCTGAAGCTCCCGGCTCCGCCTGGCACACTGCTCAGCCAGCAGCCCCAGTGCCTCCTTCACCTCCCTGTTCTCCGTCTGGCCAATGTGCTCCTTGAAGGACTCCGCAGCCTTCAAGTACAGCGCACTGGCATCTTTGTACTGGCCCTTGGTGACGAGCGCATCCGCCTTATCAACGATATCATAGATCTAACCCGTTAGCTTCCTTCACACGGTGCTCTGGTACTGGGATATACTCACTTCCGCCAGCATTTCTGTGTGTAGAGGAGTCGCTGGTGCTGTGTGCGTGTGTAGGCTGCTCTGTCTGGCTGTTGTTTGCTCTGTCTGGCTGCTCTGCCTGGCTCTTCCGCCTGGCTGTTGTTTGCTCCGTCTAGCTCCTCCGCCTGGCTGCTGTTTGCTCTGTCTGGCTCCTCCGCCTGGCAATCTGCCCTGTCCGCCTGTCTGTGCTTTGTGTCACTGGACTAGGCAGCCCGCACGCTGCGAAAAGTGCAAAACACATCATCATCACACCATCTTCAGCGGACAGAGAAGGCTCGCCAATTGTATGGGCTAATGGAACAGGAACACATCTTTGCACACTCGGAGGACTTCTGGGACTACGTACAGAGCTCGCTGAGATGCGAGTCCCCCGGCGAGCTCTCCACCGTCAACAAGGCGCTGGTGAAGTACCTCAAGCTGGTAGGGGATCACATACTGGTGTTCGTGAACGACGACCAGGACCTGTACCGGTGTGGGCTTTCGCTGGTGTGTTCTGAGTTCTATGAGAGTAACAAGCAGTTCTGCGTGTCCAAGCAGCTGAGTCTGCTGAGCATTGACGGACTGGACCAGAACATCCGGCTGTTCTCGAGTTATGTGCTGCTGTTGGATTGTAAGAACGACTCTTCTCAGCTACAGGTGATGTACGACTACCACGCGTTCTCGGTGCTGTACAGGAGTCTACGCCAGCTGTTTGAGACGTTTGCCCTGCTGGATGACGATAGGGACATGGGCTCGTTGGGGATACTGAGGAAGACGTGTACAGTACAGCTGGACATAATGTTTCAGATGTGCAAGTACATGAGCATTTCCTACGAAGAGTTGCAGTTGATAGATACGTTCTTCATCAACTACATCTTTGAGTCACTGGTGGTTGCGGACGTCGATGACGTGTTCAATGCTGCCAAGTTCAAGCTCATATTGGCGATGAATGAGCAGTTCATGATTGCAGCACGCCAGCATCATCATCATCTGGAGAACAAGGTGCTCTCGGTAGTGGCAACGCACACGACATTCAGAAACTTCAGTGAGTGTCTGCTCATGTTCTTCAACAGAGAGGAGGACCGTTGTCTTCAGATAATGATCTCAAAGATCATCTATCTGATCTTCACTTCGAAGAAAACCGCAGATGTGTTCTACCATAACGATCTGAACGTTATGGTTGATGTTCTCATCAGAGAGCTGACCAATCTAAGCGAAGAGGACGACTCGATTCGACACACGTTCCTGAGGGTTCTGTACCCCTTGCTGCAACGGAAGCAGTTTGAAGCTTCGCATTATAAGAAGGCCGAGTTGGTATCGTTGTTGACCTACCTATCAGGTATAGGTCAAACCTTCTGGGTTCCATCCGATACAACAAAGAGATTAGCATCGAGATGTCTGAAGCTCAGCTGGTTACAGCCACAGAGTGAAACCACTGACGACGTTGAGTCGATCAAGAGCGACCATTCCTCCATCATCAACGATAGAATCGACACCGCAGTGTCGTCAACTGTCTCTCTGCCTTCCACAACAAAGAATGGGCACATCATAGCTCCACCACAACTACCACATCAACATCATAGAAACTCAGATACGTCTCTTGCATCAATGTCGAAGAAGATCACGCCACCCCCACCAGTTCCCAGACATAGAAACCATTCAGATACGTCATTGCCTTATAGAAGACAGGCACCTCCTCCACCACCACCTTCTAGAAAGAAAAAATAAATCAACTGCATCTTTGAAATAGCATCATCGGCATTCTGTTCAATTACATATATACATTCATATCTGTACGTCTTCATCCTCATCGTCATCCAAATAGCTCACCAACTCTGCCTTTCTGTACTCATCGATGACACCTTGAACGGTTTCCCTGGAATCACGGAACTCATCCATTCCGTCTTGGAACAGTTTCCCGTCCTGGTAACCACCTATGAAGGCATTTCTTCTCATGATCTTATCGTATTGTTGACAAGTCTTATCCAATAGAGTGACTATGGATGAATTATTAGAGAGCATAAGTCCACTAACGTAGTCGGAGTTTGGAGTCTGAAGATGTGGTGATTTCTTCCCTTGAGCAATGTGTACGCTCGACGAGGACCACGGAACAAACTTGGCACGTTGTTGTGCCTTGATAATCGATTTCTGGATATCGGTTTGGTCGTAATCACCTTGTAAGATGTCGAATATGGAAATGTACGAGTCGTGCTTGTCATCGTTGTCAATCATTCGAATTTTCCGATCCAATAGCTCCAAAACAACGTCGTAAGCACTCGATTTACGTATCATTCTCGCATCATGTACAAAGTCAGACGTGTAAGGTGTATAACTCGGTACTAAGAAGTGCAAATCTGGAGTAGGCACCAGCGTCGAGACAATCCGCGTCATTGAGTTATACATATAGCCTGGATATCTCACCGTGTTGGTCGTAGCAGACATTATAGTGGAGATTAACTGGTTCATTTGGAAAATTGTAGGGCTCGAGCTTTGGAATGTTCTTGTTGCATTCTTCAACAACGCGCTGTTCTCGATGACGACGTTGGTATCTGCATTCTCAATCAGCCTCTTCAGTGTTAAGACCGTGTTATACGGTTGAACAACGACGTCACTTGATTGTCCACTCTCTGGAAAGATAGAATACGTCATAACCAGCTTCTTGTTGTATCTATCACTCAGCAGTTCCAGCAGGTAAGAACCAACACCTGAACCTGTTCCTCCGGCAACACTGTGTAAGAGCTGAAACGCTTCAAGGTTATCACACGAGTCCAACTCCCTATCGATGGTCTCCAGGAAGTACTCCTTCTCCGTGTCAGCGTAGTCATAACCCTTGGACCAGATATTCCCTGCGCCCAACCCGCTAGAGCTCTGGTGGATGTTCCGGTGATTGAAGAGATTAGACGTTGTACTTCTGATATCATTGATAACACCAGGCTCCAGATCAACCAGCAGTGCTCTGGGAGTGAATCTCTTATCATCGTTGCTCTGAAAGAACACATTTGTCTCATCCGTACGCTTGTCATCCGTCGTTGTAAGCCCGTCAGCTCCAATAGCATGCTCACGACACAGTTGAGACCAAAACTGCTGGCCAACTTGATTACCGCACTGTCCCACTTGCAAGGTGATGATTTGTCTGAAACTTCGTTAGTACAGGGCATTCCCTTTGCATAGGCCATTGGCACTTACGGCATAGTCCTTTTTTCCGTTATAAAACGCGTCAAATGTGTCCAACTCGTCTGTGCTGGTTGATGTTGTTGACGCTTTTAGTGAGAATTCACGTAAATGTAAACAATGGTGTCCGGGTGTTGATACCTATATATCGGTTTTCTCTCGTTGATGAGTACATCTCCATCATCAACAACTGCTACAATTTCTTTACAAAGATGGAGTAGTCTCACATATTTTCGGTTTACATTAAAGTCATCTAACAAACAGACTGTGTTTATTTATCTTTCCTTGTTTTGTTTGGACGTCTGGGTGTCTGTGTCTTCAGTTCAAACGAATCTTCAAGCCAGAAGATGTAGCACCAATGGTTGAAATTCCAACAATCTTGTCGAGTTTGCCCTTCTCAGAAGAATGGTATTTGGCACCGGTGAAAGGATCAGACACATGTGGAGTTCCCTTGTAAATAGGGGTGTAGGTAGCAGCACAAATGTCAAACTCGGCGTCCTGGTCAAAGTCGATCTCGATGGCATCACGTCCAATGGTATCAGATTTGGCCTTGATTTTCTGTGCTTGTTCAGCACGAGGACCACTTGTTACAATCTTCAGGAACTCAGATGCGAAATAAGACGCCGAGGCAAAGTTCTTGTGTTTGAAGGATTGACTCATAGCAACCTGAAGGGCATTGACACGGTGATTTGGAATCAAGCCGGCTCTGGAGAAGTATGCAGCCAATTCCAAGTTACGCTGGATATCTTCAGGTGCCAAAGAACGACGCTCAAGCTCAATGGATAACCCAAGGATGTATTCACGAGCAAGAGAAAGAGCCTCCTTCGCCTTGTCCTCGTCATCAACATTATCCACAGCGAGTACTGCAACTGTGTATATCACATGTCTAAACGACTCAATAGCAGCTTCCAAATTGTTAGCTTTGAAGTTCTTGAAACCTTCATTGATTGTTTTTGTAATTTCATCAATTCCAGGGATGAATGGCAAAACTTTGTTCAACTCCTCCTCCTCAGAGTCAGAACGGATGAATACATTCACAGGTGGATAACCTTCTGATCCAGGAAGGACGAGCTTAGAAGCACCGTACACCTGCAAGAAACGTGAACGCAGTGGCTCGAAGTTAACTGCACCAATTTGTCTATTGAGCACTTGAGCAGCAGTGTCAAAAGATCCAGCTGCAACGTGAACAGCAGCAAGTTTGGAGTTACGGTACCAGTGGCCAACTTCACCAGTGAGAACAGTGCCTTCAGCAACCTCGAGTTCTTCTTCGTTATCAACGTCAACTTCGAGGTCTTCATCATCAAGGTCCCAACCACCGTCTTCTTGAGCAAAATCTTCGTCGTCAAACATTGGTTCTTCAAAGGCTGAAACACCGCTCTTTGGAGATGTAACTGTCTCCTCATCTGGTGTTTCTTCGACAATTTCCATATCTTCCAGTTGGCCAGCGATGGCCTTTTCGAAGTATGATGGTTCAGCAGCCTTCAATGGCCAATTGGAGACACCACTGGTGGTGACAGGCTGTGGTCTAACCACAGGTTTGCTTTGGGGCAAATCAATATCATCAGCACTGACACCAGCTTGTTCCAAGATGGATTCAGCGAGTTTGTGGTGACCATTGGTTTTTGCAACAGCATAAGCCAAAGAATAATTACCGGCTTGTGCAAACAATTCGGCTCTCTTCAGGGTGTCGTTGTTGTAAATTGTGTTCTGGATAAAAGAACCAATGTGACCACGTTGTTCAGCAATGATCTGCATCTTACCTAGCTTGTTGAAGTCACCAGAAATCAAGTACAAGAAGGACAACTTGTCAAAGTGTTGTTGTGTTTGGTAAACCAACTCAACAACAGCTGTGTTACCTTGCTTTAAAGCTTCTTTACCCAACTTCTCCCAGATTTGAGCATTGTTCAAGGTCTTAGCCTCCTCTAAGGCAATCTCGATGTTGCCGCATTCAATAGCCAAGTCGAATTTGGTCTGTGGATCCTGAACAAATTGAAGAGCAACTTCTGGATAACCAGACTTTTGCAAATAAGCAATAATGTTCTGACCAACAAGTTTGGAAGTCTTGATGAGACGCAAGACCTCGTAAAAGTTTTTGTTAACCAATGCCTTCTTGAAACGGTATTCAGTACTATCAATCTTAACGATCTCAACTTCACCCTTTCTGTTTAAAGTATAGACATCTCTTCCAGAAACCTTGGTAATATACAATGTATCTTCAAGTGTCTTGATGATACCATTATCACCGTTCAACAATGTGTACTTGATGTGGTTCAAAGTGGAGTAGAACAAAACACCGGTTTCTTCCCAAGCAGCACTCTTGATACGAATAGTCTCGTGCATAGAAGTAATAACCTCCAATTTCTTGTTGACAATGGTGATAGTGTGCTTACTCAAGAGTGCCAAATATTGACCGTCAAGAGACCAAGAAACGTACTTCACGTTGTTGACCTGGACTTCTGCCAACACCTTTCTCTGCTGGGCATCATAGTGAACCACAGAGTTGGCCTTCAACAAGAGAACGGTACCCGGACCAGCAGACACAACATCCTTAACGCTTCCAGGCAATTTGATGGATTTGGTTGTCGTGTTATCCAAATCCTTGACTTCCAAAGTTTGAGAAGATGACGTGTATACAACAAATCTGTTACGAGCAATAAAAGTGGCAAAGTTACCATCACCAAGTTTGTAATCCGTTGGCTCGATGGCACCAGTGACATCCTTTGGCAATGCAATTAAAGCATACTGATCGCCTGTTGTAACCAAGATGGAGCGCGAGCTTGGATTGTATGAAAGGCTTCTCAAGTTGGTCCAAGCATTTCCAATTTTCTTCAAGGAGAGCATTGGTAAAGAAGATACCTGTCTTTGGTAGTCGAAAACTTGAACCTGTTTCTCGTTGTTGATGTAGTAAAGTTGGTCTTGGAAAAGTGTCTGAGCTGGTCTTTCACGATCCAGTTTGAACACCATGACACCAGAGTCGTGACATGCAGCAAACAAGTTGATATGTGGGTGGGAACAAACCATCCAGAATCTATCATTGTCTCTCTTAAACTGTTTAACAGGGGTACGTTTGTTCAAATCCCAGACTCTGATGGTCTTATCCTCACCAACGGAAATGATGAGGTCTTGGGTTGGGTGAAACAAACAACTCAAAACATTATGGGTGTGACCTCTACATGTGTCGACTTCCCATGCTCTGCTGTCGCTCATTCTCCAGAGTTTCACCTGTCTGTCGTCCGAACCCGAGACAATCAATGGCAAACGTGGGTGGAAAGAAGCCCAGTTAACACCTCTGTCATGGCCTTCAAGGATATACTTAACAATAGCATCGGTGTTACCAAAGATGTCCTGTTGTGGGATCTGCTGACGGTTAAACTGGTCCTCGTACATGTTACCCTGTTGAGGAGCGGAATGCTTCTGTCTCAAGCCAGAGATGTCCCAGACTCTGACTGTTTGATCCAACGACGCAGAGACAATCAAGTCCTCAGAAGGATGGAATTGGGCACACATGACATAGTGGTTATGGCCTGTCAAGCAGGCAATTTCTTGACGGTTTTGCCAGTTCCAGATTCTCACAGTTTGGTCATCAGATGCGGAGATGATCCACGGTAAATCGTGATGGAAGAACACGGTTCTAACGTAGTCCAAGTGACCAGACAACGTGAACAAGCACTTGCGGGTGTCTAATGACCAGACTTTGATGGAGTAGTCATCTCCACCAGACACGAAAAGGGGTTGCGTTGGGTGGAAATCAACACAACGAACAGAACCCTCATGGCCTTCAAAACGGTCAATCAAAGTGCCCATTCTATAGTCCCAGAGTTGGATGGTCGAGGAGTATAGGGAAACAAGAATCCAAGGTCTAGAGTCGATGTTAGCACTTGTATCGAAACAGAGGCAACCAGCCCATGCCAAAAAACATACCTCGTTGGGTGGAAGGCAATACCCTTCGCACGCGACGACTTGGATTCGAACTAGATGGAAAACCAGTTAGTACTTCGATCAATCAGAGGCACAGGGTAAACACCGAGCCTCCATTCACCACGTCGAGGGTCAATTGAACGGTCAAGCGCTCAGATGAACTGACACCAAAACAACAGTAACAACAGGGCATTACTACCCACACAGTGCCAGTTCCTACGCACAACAATCCAGCGTACAGCCGAGCAAATGAGACCTCCACACAGCGCTTAGAATGGACTCACCTTTGTTAGCATCTTCATCGTGTCGTAAGCGTTTAACAGCTGAAGCGCCGAGTTCTTGATGCTTTTGGTGTGTGTGTTTTGATTGTAAATTGTGTTGTGCTGGCAAAGGATCGCAAAATGTCTCGAACGTCAGGAAAAAAAGGGCGCGATCCAGAGATGGCCGTATTGGGAAATATTCGCGGAGATGGCTTTTCGAGGGGGGTTAGGCCGGGTAACTGTAGATGGCGTAATGGGCTTGGTATTGGTATTATACTACAAATGACGGTACATCATTTTTGATACTGAGTGGTCGTTATGATTCGTTTGATGAGGTTTATGGTTTTGAGTGTCCCTTGTTGAGAGTTTTACTATGTGTCTCTCTACACGATCCACCATGAGAGTGCGAGTAACAGAGTGCCTACGGACCCTGTAAGAGACACAGCGTTGTTGGAGGACGATGACGAGCCTCCTGCGAATTGGACAAATCCCGTGGCTGCTGTTGTGGAGTCCGTGGTTTCAGTGGCTGCCACCGTTGTAGTAGACTCCTGCTGTTCTCCTGTTGACGTTGTCGAGCCTGAGGAAGCGGAGCGGGAAGAAGAAGACGACGAATGAGAGGAGGACGAGTGAGCGGACGAAGACGAGGAGGAGGACACTGCACACTCCTGGGAGTCTAGTCCAGAACTATCATCATCACAGATCTCCGTGCTGTTATTAGTGATCATGACATACTCCTGTGTGAATTTATCGGTATTGTTGAACGTGTATGCAGAGGACCCGGTGATCAGAGTCCCAGCTGGCGGATCATAACATTCTATCGAGGCGTTCAAGAGAGTCACGTAGTAATAACCGTAATCAACTATATCCTCGGAGTTCCAATCCACAACACCACCGGCCCATTCGATGGTACCTGTGGCATCGGAGTCACCTGCAGGCCATAGGGAGAATTGTACTCTTGATGGTGTCTGTGGGTATTTATAAACTTGCTCGGTTTCGTTCCAAGTATCCTCTTTTTTCAAAGTTCTGACGAGCTCACCATCGAGATACCAATCAAGTTGATCCTCCTTCCAGTCCACCTCGTACGTATGGTAGTATTCAAACGTGTCCGTGGCGTCGATATCAACCACATTGGTGTAGTTCAGCTCACCTTGGAAGTAGAAGTTACTCTCGGCAGAGGTCAGGTTGTAACCGACAAATTCCCAATCAATCTCGTCCTGCGCATTGGAAAACAATATGAACGCACTGACAACACCATCACCACGAGAGGTCTTGAAAGTTGCACCTACTTTTCCGTACCATATGAATCTTGTTGACGAAACAACGGTACCGGACGTTTGATTCGGCATCGCAAGCAGATTAGCGCCATCGTAGTCCTCCAGATACCCTGTGTAAACCCAGTCAGTAGCGTTGGCATCACCAAAGTAATCGTCCACACTCATGATCGAACTGGCATCGTCAAAAGTTGTCTCAATATTCTGGCACACTGGCATAGCAGCACATGCATAGATATCGTAGGAGAAAGCCGGATGACATCCACCAAGACAGTATAGTGGACCGCTACCGCATTCACCATACTGGTTACAACATGGAGCGTCCTCGGGACAGGACTGTGTAGAATTACACGTCTCGGCGGCACTCACAGTTGAGGCTAATAGACCGAGAAACAGCAGTGTACAAGGGATCATCTTTATGTCTCGTACTACCACAGAGAACAACGACACAGCGTAGAGAAAAGGTGATCGATGGCGGATCTTTTATAACCAGTTGCAAAAGTCAATCAAGCCAGGTTTTAAAGGTTGAATAAGCAGCTGGAAAGTTGAAATCTAACATCCGTCTAAAATTCGCACAGGGCAAACCGCATCGTGGATTTGTTTTCATTTGCAGTTTTAGGAAATTTTGAAAGGTTCGGGATCGCAAAGTTTATTTTTAGCTTAAGCTTTGAAACTTCACGCGGCTCGGTGATTCATTTGCAGGACGCAGTGTTGGGGTTGGGGTAATTTTACACGACAATGTATGTGTTCAGCTAATTATGTAAAAGTGCTTCCCACCACTTGCTCTTCTTCATGGGGAACAATGCAATCTCGTTAATGGTAGCGCCTCTCTGGCCTTGCTCGTCGATGGCATCTTCAACTTCAACAACGATGTACTTGACGGGTTTGTCGTTGATGATTTCGAAGGACGTTTCGTTGTTTGGTAATAACCTCACTTCTGCCCAATGCTCTGGGTTATAGGGCTCACTGATAGCAACTTCAAGTCTATCAACCAATTTGAAGAAGTCCTGGTGTCCGACCGTCGCGAGCATGTCTTCATATCTTGTTGTGAGGTCATACGATGCGTATATTGATAGGTACTTTGGCGGTCTATGTCCCCAAATCATAAGTCCACTCTGCACTATTTGCGGTTTACCCAAATCTATCAACAATCTAGCTGGCTCCCTGTTGATTGGTTGCCAGTACGTGTAGTTATTACCGTCAATAGCGGATAGCGGTACTTCAGCTGGTGAGCCACATGTCAAATTGGCAATTTGTTGGCATTCAGTGCACGACCCAGGTATGTTCAACGGAGGATTGTATATCGGTACAGTAAGCGTTGAGTGGGGTCTCAACGTATAGTTCCCCGAGCGTTCGTTTCTCTCGTTGACCTCCACCGTGATGGGTGAAAGACCACGACGGTGCTTGATAGTAGCAGTAAAATCTGTCAACGTTACATCCAACACTTGGCCCATGTACTTGAATCCATTTAAAACGACACCACCTGGTAATGCAAGAGGCCTCACAGGGTCGAACGCCAAATATCTCTCAATTTGGTTCGAAGCAGGGTCAACACGCGCACTATATTTGAGCCCTAGAATGCCGTGTACAATGGCCTGTAAAAAGCCACCATGTGCTGTAAGGAATGGGAATGCAGGATGAGTACCACCGTTAGTCAAGACGTTATCATCGGCTTGTTCGCTGAATTGGGCAAATGGAAGTCTGACGTATGGTAAGACAGATTTCTGAAGGTAACTCTGGGAGGAGCATCCATAACTTATCAACCTTCTAGAAGCCATAGAAAATACTGGGAAAGTCATGGCAGGTCCCATATCAACTTGTTTCAAAGAGTAGTATAGCATGTTATCTATGGATTCCTGTCTATGAGATTCCACCTTGTAATTCAACGGCACAGTCAACATAACAACGTCAGCCTGCTTGATACGAACTGAAGAATTCATGCCAGAGTACTCCAAAACTATACCTGATTCTGATTTCGGAATGTATATGTGTGCATGAACCTTTTCCCATCTGGGATTCTTTTCAACTCCAAGGTGATCCGCAACTGTTATCGTCAAGTTTAAGAGTCTATCAATGCCTGCATTTGTGAAGGCACCATTATCTATATGGTTGGCGTACTCATCAGGATCTGTCAAGTTACTCGTTGTGTATAGCCCTAGCTCAGGGTCAAACTTTGTATACTGGGTTAAGAAATCTGCAGCATCCCTTAACAATGGCCATGTAGTAAATCTCAAATATTCTTCATCTTCACCTGCCAAGTACAAGAGATATGAACTCAAGGCAATATCAACGTTTATGTGGTATTCGTAGTCGACACATGGACCAGCAGACGTACAGTTACCAAATCTCCCAGATGTCCAAGGATAGGCAGCTCCTTCATATCCGTACTGTTGAGCATTGAGTACTGCCTGCGGGTGCGTATAGTTTCGATAGTTGCTTACTGCATTGGCAACATCAGGTGCAAATGGGACGATACCTGGAATGATCCAAAGATCAGTATCCCAAAACACCATTCCGCCGTAACTGTCACTGGATAATCCAGCCGTGCCCAACGCAGATGATAATCCTCTTGAGTTCACGTTGGTGTTAGATATGAGGTGGAACAAACTTGCCTGCGCTGCCACTGTAAGCATGGAGTCTGAAGGGAAGAAAATATTGGTTTCTTCAAAATATTGCTCCCATTCTTCTTTGTGCATTTGCAAAAGTGTATCTCTGCCCAATATATGTGCGTATTCCACCGTGATCTTTGCATGTTCCAACTCTGTTCTATCAAGCTTCTCATGGAACTCCGTTGAAACAACACCAACGTATTTGTTAACCAATGCCACTTCGTGGGGGAATAATTCAACTGTACCTTCGTTAACAACTCTTGTCCTGTTCAAGACATATTTATGAGAGCCTTCGACATCCCAAGATGAAAATACCGCAGCTTTTGAAGTTGGAACGTTCTCAGGCTGTACCACCATGTATATTCCTTCGTCATCGGCACCTAGATCCTTCAACCATGATCTTTGACTTGTTTGGAAATCTAGAGAATCTCTCAAAGTCACGTTCATAGGACTGTTTATTGGTCGTATCGACATCCCCATCACTGCCAATGTTTCCACCTTCTTGTGGACAAACACTTCAATATCAATCTCCAATTTGTTCAACCAAGTCAATGAAGTGTGCACCACTCCATTATGCAAAGACATGTTCTGGTTATAGCCTGTGATGTCCATCGGGTCAACGCCTTGCGGGTTGAAGACATGCTCACCAGTCTCGTCCTCGAATATCACATCCAACTGTGCCCAGTAAGGGATTGATGCCATGACGCTATCGTATCCCTGCGAATATAGCTCTGGGAAATTCGTGGCGGGAAGTGTCTCTTGTAAGGAGTAAAACCCTGCAACGAATGCTCCTGTGTACCTCTTGTTGAACAAAGGCCATCCATTAACCAATGGATCGTGTGTTTCGTTATCATTCGAGTGTAAGTTCAACTCATCGTATGTGAATCCGTGGCCCAATGTTGATAATCTCGCGCCGATGTAACCGTTTGACACATAAGGTTGCTTTGAGTACACGTTCTTGATGTACTCCAAGCTTCCAAGCACGTTCTCCTCCGAGTCATAGAACGAGTTCGACGCGTCCGCCACGAGCTCAAACATCTTCTCTGACCGGCGGCACAGTTCCCTCATCTGCTTGAACCTATGGATGTCATGTTTAATAACATGCGCAGTGTGTCGAACTTTGCACATCACCTTGTGCTCTATGCCTGCGGTCGTGCTCCAAAGGAGCGCCAAGGGCACAACCATGAAGATCGTGACGAGCATCACTATGCTCCTGAGATTGGAGTGGGACCCTCCATTGTTGATGCTTCCAGGCTCGTCCTTTCTAGCAACCGCCATCTCGTCTTTGTGTCCAAACAGATTAGCTCAGACGTATGTGGTGCAAGTGTAAACACGCAGATGAACTAATGAACAGTGATACCAATTGTGTCTTCAGCAGCCAGTGTAATACGCCCTCGATAGTGTCATCATACAGCGGCTGTAATGGCCTTGATACAGAGCGGACAGTACGGAGAACCAGTCACCAGGTAGCCACCCCATGTTACCCACCAACCAATGTAATGGAAATGAAACAACGTCACTTGCTCATCGTAGTGTGCCCCTATCGATGGAAGGGTGTCCCTATCGACGGAAAAGCTATTACATAAGCCAGACAGCCCGCCCTCTCCCCTTACCCTACCTCTTGCCCTCTGGACCAATGAAAAGCCTCCACAAAAAAAGTGGGTGCCGGTTTCGCGACTTTCCTGTTTTTTGCCCGTTTGATTTGTCGCTGTCCTTTGCGCGGTGTCGAGGGCCTCGTTCAGCGGTGGCTTTTGCGCTCGCTTTTGCGCCCGGCCAATAATTTCCCTTCCCTTTCTTCCACGCCGCCAGTGCAAAATCGCGAAAAACCGATCCCTTTTTCTCCCTCATCCACCCAACGTCGCCAAAAAGGGAGTGCGAAGGGGGAGCGAGAGGGAAACAAAAAAAATCAAAACCTCCAACATCTTTTTTCTCTCTTTTCTTCCCATTCGATTCTTAACTGAATTTTATCAAGAAAGGAATTCAATTTTAACAATGCTTTCCCGCTCTGCTATTAGAACAGCTGCAAGATCTGTTGTTGCTACCAACGCTGCTCGTGCTCTCAACCGTGTGGTGAGTATATCCGTGTCTTTAATTGTATGGGGGTGTTGAGGATTTCGACGTCCAAGGGGTCGAGGGAAGTTTGGGGTGTACACAATTCAACAACAACAGAAAAACAAACCTTTCGGCAGGGCGGCTCATGATTGAGCTCATGGTAACCTAACCGCCACGGTTGCAATCAATTGGCACGCCAGTGGAATCACAATGGATTGTTGTTGAGCCCAGCGGTTGGGGGTTAGCCGCCCAGATTGTTTTTGTGTGTTTTTCTCCGTCTCGATCGCTTGTTTTTTAGGGGTGTCAACGAGGGCGGGAGAAAATCACAGCGAAACAATGCGGTGCGTTTTCATTGGACCAGAAATCCTCTACGTAACTGAAGCAGTTATTTGAGCTTGACGTGTGGTACTAACACAATTGAATAGGCTCGTCCAGCCATGATGGTTGCCGGCCGTCGTTTCGCCTCTGCTAAGGCTCAACCAACTGAGGTTTCCTCCATCTTGGAGAGCAGAATCAGAGGTGTCTCTGAGGAGGCTAACTTGGATGAGACCGGAAGAGTCTTGTCTGTTGGGTAAGTTGAATCGTTTTCTTGTCTTCGTCTCGGTTTGTCTTGTTTTCCAGTGTCTTGTTCTGGTCAATTCAACGGTGGGGGAGAAAAACAGGTGTAGATCTAAGACCGTGGTGCCTCAATTGATTGAGCAATCACTCTTAGCTGATCATCTCCGATGTGTGAGATCTCTACAATTCACTCTCAATTGACTACAATTGAAGTGGCTTTTCTACGGAATTGCGCTCTGTTTTTGTATGAAATGTCCCTTACAATTTGTATGGTTGGATGTCGTTGTGTGTTTTTCCCGCTCCCCGGTGGCCGTTTTTTGCCCCTTTTGAGTATTTTTCAAATTTTCGTCGATCGAAGGTTTTTTTCTCGCTCGGCCAATTAAATTTCAGCACGGAAAAAGGCTGTCGGGGTGGGACATAAAAAACACGCACACAGAAAACAAGAATTGATCACAAGAATTGGAAACAGGGATCGAAGACAGAGTTGTATTTAATGACTTTATACTAACTATAGTCTACAGTGATGGTATTGCTCGTGTCTACGGTTTGAACAACTGTCAAGCTGAAGAGTTGGTTGAGTTCTCCTCCGGTGTTAAGGGTATGGCTCTTAACTTGGAGCCAGGTCAAGTTGGTATCGTCTTGTTCGGTTCCGACAGATTGGTCAAGGAGGGTTCCACCGTCAAGAGAACTGGTAAGATTGTTGATGTTCCAGTTGGTCCAGAGATGTTGGGTCGTGTTGTTGACGCTTTGGGTAACCCAATCGATGGTAAGGGTCCAATCAAGGCTGAGAAGCACTCCAGAGCTCAAGTTAAGGCTCCAGGTATTCTTCCAAGAAGATCTGTCCACGAGCCAGTTCAAACTGGTTTGAAGTCTGTCGATGCCCTTGTCCCAATTGGTAGAGGTCAAAGAGAGTTGATTATCGGTGACAGACAAACCGGTAAGACTGCCGTTGCTATTGACACCATCTTGAACCAAAAGAGATGGAACAACGGTACTGACGAGTCCAAGAAGTTGTACTGTGTCTACGTTGCTGTTGGTCAAAAGAGATCCACCGTTGCTCAATTGGTTCAAACCTTGGAGGAGCACGATGCCTTGAAGTACTCTGTTATTGTTGCTGCCACTGCTTCTGAGGCTGCTCCATTGCAATACTTGGCTCCTTTCACTGCTTCCGCTATTGGTGAGTGGTTCCGTGACAACGGTAAGCACGCTTTGATCATCTTTGATGATTTGTCCAAGCAAGCTGTTGCCTACCGTCAATTGTCTTTGTTGTTGAGACGTCCACCAGGTCGTGAGGCTTACCCAGGTGATGTTTTCTACTTGCACTCCAGATTGCTTGAGAGAGCTGCTAAGATGAACGACACCCTCGGTGGTGGTTCCTTGACCGCTTTGCCAGTCATTGAGACCCAAGGTGGTGATGTCTCTGCTTATATTCCAACCAACGTTATTTCCATTACCGATGGTCAAATCTTCTTGGAGGCTGAATTGTTCTACAAGGGTATCAGACCAGCTATCAACGTCGGTTTGTCCGTCTCCCGTGTCGGTTCCGCTGCTCAAGTTAAGGCCATGAAGCAAGTTGCTGGTTCCTTGAAGTTGTTCTTGGCCCAATACAGAGAAGTTGCTGCTTTCGCCCAATTCGGTTCTGATTTGGATGCTTCCACCAAGCAAACCTTGGCTAGAGGTGAGCGTTTGACTCAATTGTTGAAGCAAAAGCAATACCACCCATTGGCTGCTGAGGAGCAAGTCCCATTGATTTTCGCTGGTGTCAACGGTTTCTTGGATAGCATTCCATTGGAGAAGATTGAGGAGTTTGAGACTGCTTTCTTGTCCTCCTTGAAGGCCAACAACGCCGACATCTTGGATGCCATCAGAGAGAAGGGTCAATTGTCCGACGACTTGTTGGCTAAGTTGAGAACTGCTACTGAGCAATTTGCTGCTACTTTCTAAGAATGCTTTTTCCACATAAACAACAACGAAAAATCAAAAATCTTGGAGAGATCAGTAAATATTCCCATTCAACATTCATAAAGTAGAGATTTTTTATACTTTACCATTCTTGACGTTATTATGAAAGGGCCTTGTATATGGAGGTGCTAAAAATTACAATAAAACTAAAATATGTTATGAATCTTCACTTGTAGTTGATGATGTTGTTATAGCTGGTTTTCTATGGTAGTTGTTTCCCTGGCGATCGCGGAGGAACTTTTCAAGCAAAACTGTAGATTCTCATAGCATTGGCTCATAAAAGCTGGCACAGTGTACGAGCAAAATGGCCTCTCATGGTGTTTCATTCGATGATCTCTATCGTAGATCAACACAGTATCGATTGTGGTCCTACACAAGGGAACAACTTGCCCAGCAAAGGAGAGAGGTTAACGAAAAGGGATGTCGTAAAGTCGATGAACGACTAACATCAACGCCGGAGGTTAGTGCCTCGTCCATTGAGAAGGTTACGATGGACGAGGAGATTGCTCTGATATCGTTCCATGCAAGAAGCATTGCCAAGTTGGCAAAGTTCTTCAATATGCCGTCACAGGTACGGGTAAGTTGTGTTTCACCTCTTTTGCATTCTCTGCTGAAGCGTTCACTAACAGTAATTTGTCCAACTAGGCCACCGGTATTTCCTTCTTTAGGAAGTTCTACCTGGTTAACAGTGTGATGGAGTACCATCCGAAGCTCATCCTCCTGACTTGTCTCTTCCTTGCTGCCAAGTCAGAGAACTTCTTCATCAGTATCAACTCGTTCTCAAAGAGAATCCCAAAGACAACTCCAGAGTCAATCTTGGGGTTGGAGTTTGAGATCTTACAGTCTCTAAAGTTCACGCTCATGGCCCACCATCCGTTCAGACCACTGTATGGGTTCTTCTACGATATCCAGAATGTTCTGGGACCTGAGGTGTCTACAAAGGAGCTCGGCTCTGTATACGACGCTGCAAGAAACCTCATCAACGAGGCCCTCATATCTGACGCCATTTACCATTTCACTCCACCTCAGATTGCCCTGGCATGCTTCAAAACAGTTAACGAAGAGCTGACGATGAAGTATTTAAACAAGAAGTTTACCAATGTGAAGGTGGAAGACGATGTTCCAAAGTCCACTGATTACGATACGTTGGTGAGCGTCATAACAGAATGCCAACAAGTTATAAAGGACACTCCCAATCCTACTAAGGACCAAGCCGTGATGATTGATAAAAAGGTCCAATTCTGTGTTAATCCTTCTCTTGTACTCAAGAGGAAAAGAGATACAAACGAGCCGGACGACGCCAACAAGCGTCCACGTGTGGGTGCTGTGGAAGGAGGAGCCTCGACGTCTCCATAGAGTAAAATAATGAATTCAATGCAGTGTGTACGAGTCATCATTCCTATGTATTTTCTTTAGAAAGCACTCGAGGCCCTTCTTGTCAACTATATAGCCAAGGAAGTTGATATGTTCGAATTTGGAACATACTTCAAAATTGCACCTTATGGTTCAAGGCCAATGAGGATCGTCAAGAGATAAAGTGCAGGTGTTATTACACTCCAAGGTTCCTTTAAATGGATGTTATGTTGTCATTGCATGTGTCTTCAAACGTGTGCTTGTCGATAGTCTTGAATTAGATTCGCTATGGTTGTAGGCCATTTAATCGTGTGTAACATTCTGTATCCTCGTCAGTTGAATCAAGGTTATCCAATGACCAATACTTCTGGAAACACAGAGATTCAGGTTCCTTTGAATGAGAATAACCGTTGGATAGTAATAAAAGATGTAAATCTTATTGGGATTCTCATTGCTTCTTAAGTCAACATCATAAATATATTCAAGGTCAAACTGATTTGAACAATGATAATTGAAAATGATAACTTCTGTAGGTCCTGGTACTTTGTCACACCTTAGAAGATGATATGACAGACCATCTTGGGTGATTGAAAGACCCGATTGTGAGATTGTAGTTCTTCTTGACGTTGCTATAATGTAATCACCATTTGAAGCATCCATTATCATTTCTAGTGGTGAGTAAAATGAGCCAGGGGATATACTGTCCTATAGTTTGTGCTCCTTGAGGTATCCATGATGAATGTTTGGTTTGATCAGAGGCCAGATCTAATGGTCAACATCTTCAGACTCGTGCACATTTGACAGTGTGAACCTTTGAAGGGCTACTGGCTTCAAATTGGGCCGCCACTTCGCTTCAAGTAAGGCTGACTTACACCAGACAGATATAAGTCTATCATCAACCAAGGTTCTCCAATATTCCATAGGCTTTTGCTGTCCTTAATACTCAAGGGCATACTCTATAACCCCTTCCACAGTTCTGAAATGATGGTTTTACGGCACCTCTAATGAAAGGCTCTTTACAATGCGGGAACTCTTCATGGAAGCGAACCATATCACGATTCAATTGGCCAAGGGGAATATAGATCACAAGCGATCAATGCTAGTTATTTATCAAACAAGGACCACCATTTGTCATTAGATGTCCTAATTCATCCACACTGGCATCACATTGAAATACATGAAAAAGTACATTTCCTGTCAAGTATTGAAGTGAAGGGTACCTGGCATCGTGATGCAATGACTTTCCATCCAAGTTGATAGATGGTTCAGTCAACTTTTCATGGGTATTGCGATTCAATGTGGGGAATCCTGATAATGATGCAGTTGACAATATCAAGAGCTTCAGATTCAGCAGAGAACCGGTAACGGTATTCCAACACTGTCTTATTCTCAATGAAAAATGGACAACACTGGTATGTGTGAGAGGCACTCCTTATCACTGATCAATCTTGCCGTCCAAGACACCATCGCAAGGCAACACTTCTATGTGCCTGAGAAATCTAGCACATGGGACTTACCATTCTTGGTTCTCGTACAGTTTACACCAAACAGGGAAGTTGAGCTCAGCGACTCCACAATAGTCCGTCCTGTGAAGTTAGCCAATGGTTTCAAGAGCCTACACCTTCTCTTCATACAGCATAACTGGTCTGTAAGACATCTTCTCATGGGCCCTCGTGAGTTTTCAAAGCATTGGCATCATAGAGATGACTTCTTGAGAAACATAAGAAGCCACTAAGTAACAACATTGACTGGACCTTCTAATGTGATCTCTCGCTTGTTTCAACCAATGAGAGCGGTCCCTAAGCACCAAGCACGGGTTAAACCAGCAGAGAAAGCCCTTGTTCAGCAATGATTCAATGTGTTAATAGACACCTCTCTTCATGGTTACCGGAGTTACTATGCGAAAAAAACCAACACGGTTTGCGCCACATTTGGTTGCTGGAGCACAAAGCACACACACAAAAAATGGTAAACAAACCACAAACTTCCATCAACACTAAACAAAGAGCAAAAGGACCACTCAGAGAAGCAATCAAAAGAACAATCAGAGGGACTCAGCCATGGCGTACGTTCAGTCTAAAGTGATGAAGAAGCGTCTTCAGGAAAAGCGCCGGGTGAGCGGTGCTGCTTTGCTTCGTGAAGAGTTGAATGCGACCACGGCGGCTGGTGATTCCAGCTCGTTGTTGGATAGCATCCAGCCCGTGGAGAAGGATAAAGGCGTGATGATGGCGAACTTTGAGGAGTGGATCAAGATGGCGACTGATAACAAGATCAATACGACGAACAGTTGGAATTTTGCGCTCATCGACTACTTCCACGACATGGATGTTTTGAGAGGAAAGGATAACAACATTAACTTCCAAAAGGCAAGCGCCACGCTTGACGGGTGTGTGAAGATCTACTCGTCTAGAGTCGATTCTGTTGCTACTGAGACGGGGAGGCTCCTCAGTGGCTTGGCAACACGTAAACAGACTGGTGGTGGGGAGAAGAAGGAGCGTGAAGGCGATGAGGATGATAAGGATGAAGAGGGTGATTCCAGCGATGAGGATGCTGGAGAGGGTGATATCCAAGGATCTGCAAAGGCCAAAGCGAGATCTTCGAAGATCAGTGCGAAAAGAGTTGGTGATACGTTAACAAGTTTTGAGTCTCTTCGGATCAAAAAGCTCTCTGAGGAACTTAACATTGATCCGTTGTTCAAAAAAACGTTGGCTGAATTCGATGAAGGTGGAGCAAAGAGCTTATTGCTCAATGCATTACATATAGACAATCATGGGAGAGTTGTCTTCGATGCTAATACATCAAGTCGTGATGGTGTGAAGGCGGAGGACGATGAAGAAGAGTCAACGGTTGACGTTGAGATGTCTGGAATGGATGAGCCTGAAGTGGACATTTCACCCTTGAAAGACATCTTGTACAAGAATGGCGATGACTTTGATGAAACTACATTGTGTCCTTCTATTGAACATTTAAACTCTGTTTTGAAAGATATCACCCAGGCTAAATCTATCCTCAATGGATTTAACGTCCAACAAGAGTCTAATGACAGGGAATCCATTCAAGACTTTGCTGAAGACGGCCCAGATTTTGAGTATGGAGATAACGACAATTCATATGGCGAGTTGGATAATGAAGCAGCTGCAGTGATCTTCCAAGATGAGATACAGACGGATCAGGAGGAGGTTGGTAATGAAACTGGTGTTGTGGCTAGTGTGGTTGATCAAGATTTGATGGCATATTTCGACAACACAATGAAACGTAGTTGGGCTGGTCCTGACCATTGGAAGGTGAGGCAATTCAAAAAGGGTAAAGCACATGCCCTATCACAAAGCTCTGATACTGTTGCTGATCCTGCTACTGCAATGACGAAACAGAAGAAGACCAAAAACGATTTCCAAATAGACTTTATGACTCCAGTGGATGAAGATGAGGAAAACACTATGTTTGCCAAGGGTAAGACTTCCACACAGCTATCTGCAGCAGACAGGGAGGCTAAAGACAGTCACTTACTCCCTGACGATATGTACTACACTTCGGACCAGTTAACGAGACTTTTCCTCAAACCAGCTCAGAAGTTGAATATATTCAGACGGAAGTTAAACATACGGACTATTGAACCTTCTGAAGACCCTGATATTACAAGACCTGTGGATGCAACGTTCTGGGCTGATAATTATAAGGAATGTGAACTCGAAAAGAATAAAACCAATACGGATGGGGGTAGTGACCAAGGTGGCTATGACGATGACGATATTAATATTGGTGGGGACTACGATTTCGACATGGATTACGACGCTGGTACAGAATCCAACGAAGCCAAATTGAACACAAATACTCAGTTGATCGCTGGAGGTGGTAAAGCCAGACTGGGTGCTCTCAACTATTCCAAAAAGGCAAAGAACGTGAACGTGAAACAACTCAAAGATAACCTTTGGAAGTCCATCGAACACAAAATGGAAGAACCAGAACTTCAACTTAGTGATTTGGTCACCGATATTGGAAGACTATACCCCACAGAGCAGAGGAAGGATCTATCGACGTCGTTCTGTTTCATTTGTCTATTACACTTGGCTAACGAACACGGTTTAACTATCGAAAACACTGAGACACTAACTGACTTGAGAGTCACTGGATATGACACAGAGTCCTCGTCCAATACAAATTAGATACCACCGGACAAAGGACATAGAGTAATACTATACCAAAATATTATAACCCCTTTCTTTCTCTTTTGATCACAGATTGAAAACTGGAGCTGGACTAACCAACTAACATACTAAATAACCAACTACAGATGAACCTCTTTATGCGTATATGTTTGTGGCCCATAACAAAAAAGTACTGTCTCGAAACGGATTTCTTCAATTGGTTCCTCGATGACGCTGGAAAATTTTTGAAAAGCTTTCTTTGAATGGACTCTTCAGAGGCTTTTCACATCTCTCTTCGAGTTTGAATTACAACTTACGTGGAAAGGAAAAATAGCTTTTCGCATCTGCTAATTCATCAGCATCAACAGTTGACCCTCGCATCCAAGCCTATCGTTCTTGTCATCACGATTAATTATGTCTCAATCATCTTCATTGTCCTTTGGTCCATCATGGTATGTTGGGAGTCCTCTTGCTTCTTCTTTTTGCCACGCTGGTGTTCATTGTCTGTACTTGCGATGATCACAGAGGTAGGATGCTATGATCTGGACCTTCTCTTACTAACTGTTGTTTAGGATGCGTCCAAGATCGTCTAGACAATCATCTTCTGCAGATATTTCGGCCCAGCGTTCGAACTCATCGAACTGGGGACGTAACTCTGACTTTCAGAATCCACAGTCTGCTGCTGGAGATGTAAATGCTCCTCTTGATTTCAACCAATCCGCAAAAGTTGTTTATAAGAAGATTGAAAAGTCATATACGCTTGATGAGTTGCTTCAAGTGTGGTCCACTCTTCAACAGAAGTTACAATCTGTCGGGTTCGAGGATAAGTATCGATCATTGGATCCAATAAGAGATTTGGTGAATCAAGTTCAGCATGATGTTTCGCTTCAACAAAAGAAGAATACGTCTAATGTTGCGGAACTGGAGGCGAGATTGGGTGAAATTGACCAATGGGCCCAAAGAGAGAACAACGGGCTGGATTTTGCCAGTATTTTAAGCGGTGTGAAGAGCCAAAGGGTACAAAGTCCTGCACCAGCTGCTGCATTTGAAGCTAGGGCTGTTCCTTTGCAACGAGAATCATCATTCATGTCTGCTCATAGCCCATTAGTCTCTAGTGCATCGTTCTTGAACACTCAACAACAGTACCTTCAACCGGCTGATATCAAATGGGAGTATTTAGATCCCCAGGGTAACCTTCAGGGACCTTTTGATGGTCAGATGATGGAGAACTGGTATGAGGGTGGGTACTTATTACCAACACTACAGTTGAAACGAGAAGGATCGAATTTCATGACATTACAAGAGTTTGTTGCATCTGTTAATAACTCCTTGACCCCATTTTTGACTCCATTGCCAAAGGCACAACCACAGACTTTGCAACCAACGCCACATCGTTTCAACCAAGAGCAAGCCCAAATACTCCAACAACAACCTCAACAACAACAGCAGCAACAGCAACAGCAGGATTTCTCGGCCCTAGACTCTAGTAATATCTTTGGAAGTTCGCAAAGTTTCTTGCCACAAGTCCAAGCTGCTCAGCAGTCTGCCATCTTTGGCTCTGGTCGTTCATCTCCTTGGGCTCCTCAATCTGCTCTTGGTACTCCAACTCTTAACGGTACCCAAGATTTCGGTATTGTCAACCAATCTTCATTCATTTCTAACTTCAACGACAACGTTAGTGTGGCAGCTACTGCTAGTAGCAGTTTGGTCAATGTCCATGAACGTGACGACGATATCTTCAACCAAATTCACTCTCAGGTTCTGAACAACGTTTTGACGGATGAAACCACCAATGTTTCCATCACCCCAACAACCGAGTCAAATGCCTCGCCGGTTGTTCCTGCTCCTTCCATTGATGGTTTACATGTTGATGAAGCTATTTATAAGACAGTCGATGATCCAGCTCCAATTTCTGATATTCAACCACAACTTCAAAATGTTCCTGTACAGAAAAGAGATGCTAAGAAACAAGTGAAGGCTAAAGCTGTTGAAGTCAAAACTGAGAAGCCAGTTGCTGCTTCTAAACCGTCGGTTGCACCATGGGCCAAGAAGGCATCAGTCTCCAACGCTGAACCTCGTTTAACCCTGAGTGAGATTCAAAAGTTGGAAGCTGAAAAGCAAGCTAAGAACCAAAAGATCAAAGCTGAGCAGGATAGATTGGTTGCTGCTCAATTGCTTGCTGATGCTACAAACTCTTTGAAAGAGGCACAAGTCAGCAACAGCAAGACTTCCCTTCCAGCCACTGCAACTTGGGCTTCTGCAAAGAAGCCAGCTTCTACTCCAACAAAGTCGCTCTTGGACATCCAACGTGAAGAACTCGCTGCTTCTGCTGCTGCCACAGCAGCTTCATCGTTATCTACGAGCTCTGGTGTCTCGAAAATCGCTAAGCACCAGCCACCAAGTTTTGCATCTGTTGCAAGTTCACCATCTAATGCTTGGACCACAGTCACTGCTAAGAAGCCAGTTGTAAAGCCAACTGCTCCACACACCACCAACCAATCGAGCAAACAACTCACTCCAGACATGCTACGTTCCATCTCTGCTCCAGTGACTAGTACCACTGCTGGAAGACAACCATCATCCTCTAACAAGGCTGTTTCTCCACGTCAGGAGTTTTTGACATGGTGTCGTTCCACTATGAAATTGCATAAGGGCATCCAAATTGATGGGATCCTGGAACTTATCCTAGAGCTTCCATTTGGACCTGACTCGTCTGAAATCATTGCCGATACCATCTACTCTAACTCGTCCACGATGGATGGTAGAAGATTTTCCCAAGAGTTCATGAAACGTCGTAAAGCCGTTGAGACACAGGTCAACGATGGATTATCATGGACTGATGCGCTTCACATCAGTGCCATTGACGATGACGATGGATGGGATTTCCAAGTTGTCAAGAAGAAAGGCAAGAGAAGAAACTAAGCTTTCTCTCTCTACAAAGTTACTCCATGTGTATATATATCTGTTTTGACGATACACGTATACATTCAGCATGTCTCACCCATTCTATTTAACTGTAGCCGTTTGTTTATGAGGAGTTTGGTTTGGGAATACGTATGTGCCATCGTCATTGACCTTGATTCCCCATTCGTGTAGCAGGTCAACCTTCTTGTCCTTCAGCCCGTTGTACTTCTTAGCCAAGGCCTCGTTGAGGCAAACCTCCTGCAACAGAGGCAAGAACTTTGAGACCCAGCCCTTCTTATACTTCTCAGTCTCCTGCACCAGCTCCTGGATCTCAATCTCCTCCACCTTCTGCGCTGTTTGGAACCTCTCCCATAGGTCATCGCTTATAGAACCCTTGTGATATAAAACGTTCATGAAAGGTGTGAACTCCTTCAGCTTCAGCGTTCTCTTGATGCACTCAGCTCCCCTTCTGATCAGCGCAGCCTTCAGCACCTGCTCATTCGGCTTCTCGTCAGCGTTCACCAGCTCGAAGTACATCTCTTTCGCAATGTTCCTGTCGAAGAAGGGCTTTCTCGACGTCAGCTCCTTCAGCTTCTTCTGTCTGTACTTGATGGAGAACACCACAAGCGCTCCAATCATGATCGTCACGTAGATCAGTGGCGTGTACACCGAGATCTTGGTGATTGGCATCTCTTCCTCGTCCATCGTGCTCTGTGCTTTCTTCTGTCCTTGTCAAACCGTTCAAGTGTTGATCGAAGGTGGTTGAAAGCGCTTTGAACAAAATTTGGGGCCACGTTGAAGTATCAAACGTGTTCGCGGTGCCTCGGGCTCAGTCCCGACGGCAAACATCAACATCAACATCAACATCAACATCAACATCAACAAAGAAGGTCAGTTGGGTGTAGAGGAAGGGCACAGAGAGGTTTATTATGAGTATTGTGAGTAGTTGTGTGGATGTTTTATCATGTGGCGAGCTAACAAGAGCGTCAGGTGATTCGTTTCCGGTCTAAAGATGGGATGCTGAGGGTCTCTGCTGATCCTGATGGTGACTTCCTCAACGTTGTGGAGGAGCTGTCGAAGAAGCTGGCGGTTGATGTGGCCAAGGTTGAGGTGTCGAGTGGGCCTGGTGGTCCGTTCCAGCCGTTGCTGGTGCTGTGTGGCAAGACGCCGTCTTCTCTGGGGTTCAAGAATGGTGAGATGTTGTTTTTGAAGTATGATGATTCGCAGCAGCAACAGCAACAGCAGCAGCAACAGCAGCAGCCGTTGCAAGGCTCTGTTCAGATCAGTGACGCTACCATCCCGGTTTCCTCTGTGAAGGAACTCCCAGTCGACGTTGAATTGAACAAGGAAACCGGTCTCATTCCTAGAAGTCGATCAAAATTCTGCAGACATGGAGACCAAGGCATGTGTGAGTACTGTTCTCCATTGCCGCCTTGGGACAAGTCCTATAGAGACGAACACCAGATCAAGCACATGTCGTTCCACGCCTATCTCAAGCAGCTGGATCATGCGACGAATAAAGGACAAGGCTCGTCGTATATTGCGCCTCTTCAAGAGTCGAACTTCAACATTGATAAGAAGTGCCGTGGAGGACATGAGCCTTGGCCAAAGGGTATCTGCTCCAAATGCCAGCCTTCTGCAATCACACTACAGCAGCAGGAGTTCCGTATGGTGGACCATCTTGAATTCGCCAACTCTGAAATCGTCAACTCCTTCATTGAGAGCTGGAGACAGACCGGAACACAGAGAATTGGCTTCATGTATGGAACGTACGCCAAGTACGATAAGGTCCCACTTGGTATAAAAGCCGTTGTTGAGGCCATCTATGAGCCTTCGCAGCACGATGAGAACGATGGCCTGACCCTGGGCATACCCTGGGAGGATGAACAGCAGATTGATCAAATTGCAGAGCTGTGTGGCTTACAGAAGATTGGGGTGATATTCACGGATCTAACCGACGCAGGCCAGGGCGATGGCTCAGTGCTGTGTAAGAGACACAAGGACTCGTTCTTCCTTTCATCGTTGGAAGTTATATTTGCAGCCCAGTTGCAGAAGCACTACCCGAACTATACAAAGAGCTCTCCCTCTGGGAAGTTCTCTTCGAAGTTCGTCACCTGTGTCATCAGTGGTAACCTCGCAGGAGAGATTGATATGTTCCCATACCAAGTGTCTGAAAGTGCCGAGGCCCTCGTCTCTGCTGATCTGATCACAGGCTCAACCAAGCCATCGTTCGCATACATCAACGAGACAAATGAGAGCAGATACGTTCCAGAGATCTTCTACACAAAGATCAACGAGTACAACCTACAGGTGAAGACCAATGCCAAACCTGCCATCCCGGTGGACTACCTGCTGGTGACGTTGTCGCATGGCTTCCCACAGGAGCCCAATGCCGTCTTCAAGAGCAACAGCTTCCCCATCGAGAACAGACAGGCGATGGGCATATCCAGAGATCTGACGGACCTGAAGCGTCGCATGGACAAGTACACCCGTGGCGAGCTCAAGCTCGTCGACGTCATCTCAGACTTCCACCTCCTGACGCTGCTGTTCACCGTTGAAGTGCTCAACAGCGATGAGAAGGCACTCCTGGCTAGAGCCGCAACGACTCACAAGCTCGAAGACTGCTACCAGCTCCAGGAGACCGGTGGCTGGCAGACCCTCCTGACCATCCTGTCTATGCAGTGAGTGCACAGTGCCCTCACTCCATAATCAACGCTTTCGACTCGCTCAACATTGTACATCGTGTAGTTTCTCCTATCCACCACCGCTCCTCTAGCATTACCCGATTAGGAAGTCAAGAAGTAGAATTTTCCAGAACAAAAAAATTCCGTCGATGCCTTCGCAAACCACAAAAAAAAATTCTTCCAAAACATCAACAACTTCTTTGCTGTGTTTTCCCTTCTCTTCTTCCTCCAAAACCAGTTTTCCTTTCCAAAACACACGCTAAGAAAGAGAGAATTACTATGAGTGCACCATTTGGTATTGATTTCGGTAACCACAACACGGTTGTTGCTGTTGCAAAGAACAGGGGTATCGATGTTGTTGTGAACGAAGTGTCCAACAGAGCCACACCAACGATTGTTGGATTCGGCCAGCAGAACCGTGCGATTGGAGAGAGCGGTAAGTCACAGCAGATCTCCAACATCAAGAACACTGTTGATAACTTCAAGAGAATTGTCGGTTTGGACTATGGCCACCCGGACGTGAAGAAGGAGGAGCCATTCTTCACCACGAAGCTTGCCGATGTTGATGGACAAGTTGGTGCCAAGGTGAGATTCCTTGGGAAGGAGGAGACGTTCTCCTCTGTGCAGATCGCTGCTATGTACTTCAACAAGCTCAAGTCCACCGTGAGCAAGGAGACCAAGCTGAACATCAACGACGTTTGTATCTCTGTGCCATTGTGGTACACCCAGCAGCAGCGCCACGCTGTTGCCGATGCTGCTAGAATTGCCGGGTTGAACCCGGTCAGAATCGTCAACGACCTGACAGCCGCTGCTGTTGGCTACGGTGTGTTCAAGACCGACTTGCCAGAAGACAAGCCGGTCAACATTGCGCTTGTTGACATTGGTCACTCTGCCTACGAGGTTTCCATCGTTTCCTTGAAGAAAGGTGAGCTCAAGGTGTTGGGATCTGCTTACGATAAGTTCTTTGGTGGTAGAGACTTTGACTACGCCATTGCCAACTACTTTGCCGATGAGTTGGATGCTAAGCACAAGACCGATGTGCGCTCCAACCCAAAGTCCTTCTCCAGAATGCTCGCATCTGCTGAGAAGTTGAAAAAGATCTTGTCTGCCAACACCCAGGCCCCATACAACGTTGAATCTGTGATTAACGACATTGACTACTCTTCCTCTATGACCAGAGACCAGCTGGAGGAGTTGGTTCAACCATTGTTGGACCGTGTTAACGTTCCAATCGAGCAGGCTTTGAAGCAATCTGGTTTGTCCAAGGACGACTTGGACTTTGTCGAGGTCATCGGTGGTGGTTCCAGAGTTCCATCCCTTAAGGAGAGATTGGCTGAGACTTTTGGCAAGCCATTGTCCTTCCACTTGAACCAGGATGAGTCCATTGCTAAGGGTGCCACTTTTATCTGTGCCATCCACTCCCCAACTTTGAGAGTCCGTCCATTTAAGTTCACCGATGTCAACGAGTTCTCCATCACTTACCAATGGGATCAACAAGTTGAAGGTGACGATGACCACTTGGAAGTTTTCCCAGCTGGCTCATCGTACCCATCTACTAAAGTTATCACTTTGGAACGTACCGGTGACTTCAACGTCTCTGCTAGATACACCAACGTGAAGGAATTGCCAGCTGGTACTCCAGAGGAGATTGCTTCCTGGAAGATCCAAGGTGTCAAACTTGCAGACGGCCAAAGCACAATCTCTGTTAAGGCTAAGCTCAGAAACAACGAATCCGGATTCGCATCCATCGAGTCTGCTTACACCGTGGAAGAAGTTGAAGTTGAAGAGGAGATCCCATACGAAGGTGAAGGTGAGAAGCCAGAGGACTACGAGCCACAGTACAAGAAGGTTAAGAAGCTCGTCAAGAAGGATGATTTGTCCATCACCACCAAGGACGCTGCCCTTCCACAGGACAAGTTGAACGAGTACTTCGAGAAGGAGGCCCAATTGACCTCCACCGATGAGCTTGTCTTCAAGATCCAAAACAAGAGAAACGAGATTGAGGAGTACATCTACGACTTCAGATCCAAGTTGGATGGAATTTATGCTCCATTCGTCTCTGAAAAGGAGAAGGAGGACTTGTCCGAGCTCTTGATGAACGCTGAGGACTGGTTGTACGACCACGAGGATGCCTCCTTGGGTGTCTACACCGCCAAGTACGAGGAGTTGGCCTCCAAGGGTAACCTGATCAGAGGCCGTTACCAATCTGCCGAGAACGAGAAGGAGGAGGCTGCCAGAGCCAAGAAGGAGGCCGAGGCGTACCAAAAATTCACCCAGAAGTTGCAAGAGCAGAAGAAGGAGCAACCTGAGGAGCCAAAGAAGGACGCTGATGGTGACTTAGATTTGGATTAAAGATGCACATAAGCAACAAAAATAAGACAAAGAGAGACGAGGTATAAAGGAAGAGCATCAGACGCAGTTTTTACACATCGGGTTTTTTAACAACATTTCGGCTATTATCATATCACAAATTATTACATATTATCAACGGTGGAAGGGGTTTGATACACACAACTGAAACGTTTGGTTTCTTCCTCTTGTTCTTGTTCTTTTAATCTTCTTTTGATAATTTTATATGGGAAACTGAAAAACTTGTTGATTTGTAGAGAAAACAGTGAAAAAACTGTCAAAAAACGATGAAAATAGCGGTGAAAATGTGTTGAAGAAATTCGCGGGAGCCGACCCCCATCGCTCCTACATCCACTGCACTTGCGCAAGTAAAACATGCTCAAATTCGCCGTTAAAAGGTGCTTGAAGAGACCTGTTGGCGCCCATGGTGGTGCTCGTGGTGGTGTTCGCGGTGGTGTTCGCCACGTATCACAATTGCCCCCAAGAGATGAGGTTATTCCCAAGTGTAAGTAGTGTGCTGGCTGCTGATGATGAGGAAGAAGAGTACTAACACTGCTGAGCCAGTCTCCTTCCAGAAGCATACACACACTGTCAGCGCCATAGACAGCGACGTGGCGTCGCACTTTGGCCAGGAGGTGTCGTTGTCTGGGTGGATCGACAAGAAGCCCAAGAAGATGGGCAAGAACATCGTGTTCGCCACGCTGAGAGACTTTGAAGGGAACTTCACCCAGATTGTCTCAAAGGACCCGAGTATCGTGTCTCTGATCGAATCAGCAAACGTGGAGGACTGTGTCACTGTGACTGGTGTTGTTGAGCAGAGAAGGGCGAGAAATGCCGAAGACAAGGACATCCGTTGGGATGTGAATCTGAGAGAGTACCAGACTCTCAACCATTCTGATGTGCTGACGGCTCAGTTGGAGTCGCTGAAGGCCACGCCTAACGACTTCCCTCAGCAGTACAGATACTTGCAACTGCGTATCCCGTTCTACCAGCAGGCTCTGAAGAAGAGATCTCAGGCTGCGACGGTGGTGAGATCGGAGCTTGCCGAGATGGGATTCACCGAGATTGAGACTCCTCTGCTGTTCAAGTCGACGCCTGAAGGAGCCCGTGAGTTCCTGGTGCCCACGAGAAGAAAGGACCAGTTCTACGCACTGCCTCAGTCACCACAGCAGTTCAAACAGCTGTTGATGGCCAGTGGAGTGAAGAACTACTTCCAAATCGCTCGCTGCTTCCGTGATGAGGATCTGAGGGCAGATAGACAGCCAGAATTCACACAGGTGGACTTGGAGATGTCTTTTGCAGATGCTGCGGATGTCCAGCGTACCGTGGAACGTGTCGTCAAGCGCATTTGGAAGGAGGTGGCTCAGAAGGACATCTACACGCTGGACTCCACTGGACAAGCTGAACTTGGTCCATTTGTCCATCTTTCGTATGACCAAGTGTTGAGCCAATACGGTATAGACAAACCAGATCTGAGATCAACATTGAAGTTCCACAATCTAGAAGGGCTGGCCACTGCTGTGGAGAATGCTGAGTACCCAGTGTTCGAAGTGTGTGTGTTGCCAGGGGCATTTGAAGGTAAGGCAAAGCTTCCAAAGAAGCTGTTTGACGATTCAGAGTATAGAAATAGGAAGCCAATCATCGTGCCAATTAAAACAGAAGATGATCGTACTAAATGGGTTGAAAAGTTCCAATCAATGGTGAAATTCCATGATTTGGGGAAGATCAATGAGCTTTTGAACTTACAAGTAGGCGATGTCATTGCAGGTTCTACACGGTCAAAATTGTCCTACGAGAACCCAACACCATTGGGAAGATTTAGACAATTGGCTATCTCTGAATTCCCAGACAGATGGAGACATGACGGTGTTGATTTCGTCGGTGCATGGGTTGAAGACTTCCCATTGTTCAACCCACATGAGTTGCCAGAAGCTGAGAAAGTTGATTATCCAAGGTATGACTACACGAAATTTGTCTCCACTCATCATCCATTTACAATGGCTAAACCAGAAGACTACGAACGTCTTGATTCAGCTCCATTGTCAGTGAAAGGTGAGCACTATGACCTCGTTGTCAATGGCGTTGAATTGGGTGGTGGTTCCAGAAGAGTCCACGACTCTCAGGTCCAAAGATTCATCCTCGATGAGATCCTCAAGGTTCCAAACCCAGATAGATTGTTTGGCCATCTCTTGAAGGCATTGTCAATGGGCTGTCCACCACATGCCGGTCTTGCGCTCGGGTTTGATCGACTATGTGCCATGTTGATTGGGAGCTCAAGCATCAGAGACGTTGTTGCTTTCCCAAAGACTCAAAACGGTACTGACCCTGTTGTTGAGAGTCCAAGCACCATCTCTGATGAGGTGTTGAAAGAGTACCACATCAAAAAAGTGTGAGATAGCACCACGTCGTGTACATAATAGCAAAGAGAATATGGAATATTTATATCTGTATATAGAATATGACTTTAAAATCAAAGAAAAATCAAATTGGAGTATGAGAATTTGGTTACACTCTCATATCTATCGTAGTCTTAAAGTCCTTGTGCCCTATGATTGTATTTGAAGGTGCACTCTCATATCTATGAGCGTTGAAGAAGTCACAGATGATCTTGACGTATTCAGTTGGTCTTTGGTCCAAGATGTCGTGTGAGGAGTTAACATTGGCGAATTCATTATTCGGGAAAATATCCTGAATCTTTGTCATTCCTTCTTCATTGATGAATGGAGACTTCAGTCCCTTGATGAACTTCACTGGACCATTGTACTTCAACCCCTCTGTGGATTCCTCTGGCCAATCAGTAACATCTTTTACAGCAGCTTCTTCCATCTGGCGAATCGGATTCAAAAACTGGATTAATCCCTCGTCAAAGTTAACCACTGGAGACTCAAAGCCATCGGGCTTCTTGTTGACCAGGTTGACGAGTAGGTTCTTTCTAATGACTCCGTTTGGTAAAAACTTCTTCATCGCATCAGAGGCCTTGTTTTTCCAGTCTTTATCAGTGGTTTTGATCTTTGCCTCTTCGAGAACATGAAGCATGCTCTTGACATACTGTTTCATGTACAGCTCAATGTATGGCTGTTTCACGGGGGCATTGTCGATGATAACTGCACTCTTAACCAATTCTGGATATTTCAAAGCAGCGAGCATAGAGATCTTTGCACCTAATGAGTAACCCACAAGCTTCACGCTCTTCAGGCCTTGGACGTGACAAAACTCCTTGACATCCTGTGCCAAAGTGTCGTAGTTGAACGGCATGGCATGTGACGTTTGACCATGGTTGCGAATATCGACAGTGTAAACCGGGGTATGAGTACCGTGTGCGATCATTTTCGAGTCCAATTCATACGATTTCTTCGAGCCAAAGATGCCATGAAGAAAGACAATTGGCTCTGTATGTTTTTCATTCAGGTTTTGGAACAGAGAGCGCTGTGGCATGTGTAAATCGTAAGCCATTGGAACGGTTTCTCTGTGTGGAAGTTTTTGCAGCGTGCTTCTCAAAACTCTTGTTGGGAACATGGCAGTGAACGAATCTTCTTGCTGTGTCCTTCTTGTAAGAATTGAAGGATAAAGAAGAACAGCAGACACTCATCCTTTTATACCCAGACATATGATGCATATTCAAAGACTCATTGAAGAAACCTTTTCGCTCACGTTTTTAGTGTTAATTATAGAGCTTGACAGCACTTCTAGCCCAACACAACCTCACTGAATCGTTGTTAAAACAACATCAACAAGCTTCAACCCTAACGTATTTGCGCATTTTAATGCAGGTCGGATAAAAAAGCAACTAGGGACCTTTCAGTTTTACGTCATCATGCACAGTTCTGTGTCCCCTAACATATAGACAACACCTCTTTTCTTTTTGTCTGTGGCTAGTGCTGTGCGTGTAGTTTTTCCGGTGCCAGGTGTTCGGATGTCCTATAGATGCACATGTTCACGCTATTCGTTATACACCTTGGCTACAATAACAGTTTGAAAAATGTGTGCAAAAGTCTATAGCAGTAACCTTAAATACCCTCTGTTTGTCATTCTATAGTAATGAATATGATTGTTTTGTTTGCTGTTTAATTGTTCTCTGTGTTGTAAACCTGTATAATCCCCGTACCTTATAATCAACTCTTCATGATTTATAATTGTTTGGTTGCTTGTTCGACAGTTGAAGCCTCAGAGCTGTTGAGCAAGGCTGGATCCACTTTTTGGATAGTGTGGTGTTTTCCATCTCTTGTGTGTTGCTGCAAAAGCTGGTATCTAGTCAACTTGATGAAGTCACAGACGGTCTTTGTCACCCTTGATGGCATCTCTGCAAAGATCAGATGGTTTGTGTTGAAAGTGGACATTGTGTAGTTAGGGAAGTGCTCAGCGTATGCCTTCTCACCTTCCTTAGTGATGAATGCAGACTTCAAACCTTTAACCACTTTAACTGGTCCTTCGAACTTGAGACCTTTAACTTCTTCAGCTGGCCAGTCGGAAATGTCATCGATAACGTCCTTGTTAAAGTGGCTGATTGGCATTTGAACGCTGATGAGATCTGTATGTCCTGGGATGTGGGAAGACTTTTTGTTGAGAACGTTTCTCAACAAATACTGAACGATAGAAGCATCTGGAATGTATTTACTCATAACTGCACGTGCCTTTTCTCTCCAGTTCTTATCAGTAGCTTTGATATGGGCAGAATCAATCAAAGCGGTCATGGCCTTGAGGAACACTTTCAAGTATACCTTGACTTGAGGGGTTTCAATTGGTGCATTGCCGATGATGACCCCAGAGTTGACCAGTTTTGGATGCTTGAGCATGGTCAAGAGACCAACCTTTGCACCAAGAGAATAACCAACAATGCTAACTCTCTTCAGATCATGCTCTTCACAGAAATCGACAACGTCCTTGCTCAACTGGCTATAGTTAACCAGGGGGAAACAGTGTTCACTTTCACCGTGGTTTCTAAAATCGATGGCATAAACCGGGGTATGCGTGGTGTTTGCAATGGTTTGGCAGATATCGCCGTAGTTCTTCTTTGAACCAAACACTCCGTGTAAGAACACGATTGGTTCGTGCGATCTAATTGTCAAGTTTGGAGTCACAGTCTTGTTTGGCATGTGAAGTTTATAAGCCAATGACACTTTAGTCTTTGTTGGAAGTGGCAATAGTGGTGCCTTTGTGACGGCCTTAGACCAGAGTTGCTTGGTGATTTGCATGATGTTGGGGGATGTACTGCTCTAAAACCACTTATAGCTCCTATCTCATGCAAGACACAAGAGGTTCTTCCGCTATATATATATACAATTTCTATATCCACCTAGCAGCCTACAACCTTTCCCGACACGTAAAACCTATCTGTCGCATCGCACATGCTCATATTCCAGACCCCAATATCGCCAATTCCATATATCGGCTTTGTTATTTTGGAAACACCTTGCTGTAAATTCCCTTTATGTCTAATGCTTGATGTACGGGCAATCTGATTCCGCGCGAGAATAAGCACTAGCGTGAAAATTTTTGTCTGCTAGCCCCTACGTAGCGGATGGTGGCCTCTTTCTACCGACACCTCACCAGTGTCTATAGCCCCTAACACAATGCTATTAAAAGAACATTCTCCTATGTATGCAACTGTGGTTGAAGTGCTTGATCTCATTGTTTACCAAACCATCTTTGATGGCTTCTTCTGTGAGCCTATTAACCTGGAAAGAGCCTGCGGTGTTAAAGACATGAAAAAAATGTATTGCATGAAACCCCCCACGCAATCGCTCCCACGTACTTTTGCGTGTTCGCTTTCGTAGGTGCCCTTGGTCTTATCTCCAGTGGCTTTTTTAGTGCTTTGGAGCCTAGACTCTTCTAGGGGAGCCCAGCTAGAGGAGCCCAGCTAAAGGAGCCTAGTTAAGTGGCAGGTCGTACGGCTATAAACTTTAGATAGATGTTTGGGGACGATGCGGAGGCTGTAGGGTGTGCGAAATGGCAGTGCATCTAAAGCCGATATTCATTTATGTGTGTGGATGTCTACAATATGCCGTTAAGTTTCGCTTTGCAATTAACATCTCTTGTATACCCTTGCATTGTTCAAAACTCCATGGATTTCTTAGCATCGTCGTCACCTTCGTCCTCGACTGGAATTCCCCATTCTTCAATCTCAAATTTCTTTCTACCGTTCTTGAACGCATACTCGTTGACAGTAACCTTCATCTGTCCTCGTTCGCTTGCGTGGGCAATTTTATAGACGTGAACCAGTCCGTGAGATACCTTTGTAGGTTGGTTATGGTATGCTTTCTCCAAAAACCTTGTCATCTCCTGGTTGAAAGGCTCTAAATGTATCACTGAGTCTGTCAAGCTTTCCAACAGCTTCACCAGTGCACTACTTCTTGGGTATAAATCCAGCGCAAGGGTGACCATTATACATAGTTTGTCAAACTTCCTCGTAAGCGATCTCAGTCCATGTGCGAATTGTAATGCCTCATGGCTCGAGGTGAGCTGTGGTGGATACATTGATGGGTTCAAGAAGGATGGTATTAACAATCTGATAACTTTCCCTTGGTGTTGCATAATAACGTGTTCGATGTTCTTCAAGATGGACTTGAAATTCGAGCTAATCTGTATTGTAGTCAATTCGTTTGTCCCTGGGCCAGGTGACAATCTACTTGTGATGTCGAATTGATGGTTGTAGTCCTTGTACAATACGTTATTATCGCCTTGCGACTGTGTCTGTGCCTTGTTCTGGTCGTTCAAGCCGTATCTCCATGCAATCTTCAAGTCCTTAGATCTGGCAACATGGCTATCGCCTGTGATCAAGTTCTGAACAGAGAGCTTGTTCTCATTCTCCTGGACCCTCTGCTTCTTTATATCCCTTGAAGAGCCTTTGAAAACACCTGGCAACTCCTTCGTCCAATGTTGATTTGAAGTTAGCAATATGATATGTGTATTACTAATTTGGGGGTCCAGTCTGTTGTGAACAATACCTTGAGATACAAACACCTTTGAAAGAACGTTTGCAAAATCAGTGGTGCCTGATTCTTCAACAAGTATGGATGAGCCTAGGGGAATCCCCTGATGCTCCAGTATCTTATCTAGATCATTACACCCAGATGACGTGACACTCTGGGTGTTCAGCAGAGACGGCTTGACACCAGCGTGCTTGGTAACCTCGGGCTTAGTGCTAAGTTGTCGTAGACCTCGATTCAGCGATTCCGTCCCTCTTATGAAGGGAGAACGGCCAGGCACAGCACCAGGGACTCTTCCAGGTACACTCCCAGGTACACTCCCAGGCGCACCCACTGCTCCACCAGGCTGTCTCAATGGAATGCCTCGTATTGGCTGGCCACTGATGGGTGTCCTACCTGTGACAAATGGACTATTTCTTCTTCTTTCTTCCATGCTTTAAGGGCTTAACCTCCAACTTTCAACCTCCAAAAGTACTGAGTTATGTCCCGAAATTTTTCACTCGTATACAGAGCCAAAAAAAAAGCCCAATTCCGATGCTCATCGATTCGTCCAGAACAGGAAATTAATTCCGATCTATTGTGGCAAGGAAAAGCAAACCATTTTTTCTCTACAAACTCCTTCGAAGGCTTACCCGTTTGTTTACAATTCATCAGCTTCAAAACAACATCACTGGCGGCTAAGCACAAGATGGAGGACAAGGAAGACAACAAGACGGTATTTGGTGATGCCGAGCAGATGACATACCACGACGGTGTGCTTGAAGGGTCGACTGTCTACGACGGAGAGTCAGGTTCAGGGTATAAGTCCAGTGGCATTAGCGGACACAAGCGAACCGCCTCATCGGATCGCCGTTTGACGTCGCAGGTGTCGCAGTTGCAGTATAACAACAACCGTGTTGCCTTGGACAGATCTATCACGGGTGTTGTGGACTTGCTGGATCAATTACAGTCGGAGAACAAGCAGAGACCGCTGTTCTATCCGACGTCTGCTACCCCATCTTCGATGTTGAACAGTAAGAAGGCGCACTTGGCACTGATTCGGAAGAACAGCATGAAGACTGCGATGAAGCAACCGGAGGACGAAAGTGTGTCCGGGGATTCTGAGGAGCTAGAGGATAACCATTTGAAGATTCTCAAGCTGAATATCAAATTGGACCATAACTCACACTTCTCCAACTTGGATAAGAGCGCAATTGCACAGATTTTGGATGACAAGATTACGCAAGTTTCAAAGCATCTGCTCTCAATAAAGGAGAGGATCGATGACACCTCCTCAAAGGTGTTCGTCACGGGTGACTTGAACTCGGGTAAGTCCACTTTTTGCAATGCATTGCTAAGACGTAAAGTCCTGCCGGAAGATCAACAGCCATGCACCACTGTGTTCTGCGAGGTGGTAGACTCCAGGGAGAACAACGGGATTGAAGAGGTGCATGCGGTGCCTATTGGTGTTGAGTACGATATTAAGAATGAGACTACTTATGAAATTTTCACTTTGAAAGATTTGGAAAGATTGGTTGGTGAATGCGACAAGTATTCTATACTCAAGGTTTACGTCACTGATAAAAGAGCAGTTCAAGATAGCTTACTACGGAATGGTGTTGTCGACATTGCATTGATCGATGCTCCGGGACTTAATTTGGATTCGTATCAAACCACAGAGGTTTTTTCAAGACAAGAGGAGATTGATCTTGTTGTCTTTGTTTTGAGTGCAGAAAACCAGTTTACACTCTCTGCAAAGGAATTTATTGCGGCTGCTGCCAATGAGAAGAATCTGATCTTTATTGTCGTCAACAGATTTGATAGCATTAAAGATAAACAGAAATGTATGAATAGAGTCTTGGAACAAGTTCAACAGCTATCACCTGAAACGTACAAAGATGCATCACAATTTGTGCATTTTGTCTCTTCAAATGCAATTGTTGACGGTTTACCAGATGATGATGACGATGGAAATGGCAATGGAAGTGGAGAAGGAAGCTCTCATGATCGTGACAATGAGCCACATCCAGATTTTGACCATTTGGAGGAGAGTTTGCGTAATTTTGTTTTGAAGAAGAGAGCATACTCAAAGCTTCAACCGGCAAAGACATATTTGATCAACTTGTTTGACGATATTGAAGAATTATCATCAATCAATCAGAAATTATACCTCAACGATAAGACGGAAATGTCGAAGAAATTGGATGAAATCTCACCAATATATGAGGAGAGTCTTGTTCAATCCGTGAAGATTAATGAAAAGATCGAAGCCATCATTGAGGAAACTTCCCACGATGTTTATTCCAATACCAAAGAGAGCATTTACAAGACTTTGAATACTGTTGGTGACCATCCGGTTGTTACATACCCGGGTATTTTGCATTTGCCTGAATATGTCTTTGATACCCAAGAGGCTATTAAGAAGAACATTTTAGACTCTGTCAATGAAGCAGAACAGTATGCAAGAAGACAGACCTCTAATGCTGTTGAAAACATCAACACCTTGGCTAAGGACATACTAAAGGATGATTATAAGGATGAAAAGATATTTAGAGATGACTTCATGTTCACCAGAAGAAAAGATTCGTTAACAAGACAAATTGAAGCACCTCTCTCCGTCTTTGACTTCATTGATCCTTCGCTAGAAGGATTTTTGGCGTCATTGGGATTCACCAAGAAGACCACAGATCAAGTGACAATTTGGAAAAACTCTGCAATGTCCATTGGAGTCTTTGCGTTATCACGTGCCATGTCAACTGGAAGAGTCGTTCACAACGTGTTCCAGTATGGATCTTTCTTCTCTCTGAGAACACTTCAATATCTTGCCATTCCAGTGATCATTGGTGTTGGTGTCGTTGGTATCAATTACCTTGTAAGCGACATTCCAAACGCCCTTCCAAGGAAACTAGCTTTGAAAATCAAATACCAGGTGCAAGAGATGGATTATCCTCATCAGAACTCCGAAAGAATCGCCAAGGAGTGTCGTAAAGTTTTGAAGTATCCAGCTAGGGATGTTCAAAGCGCATTCCAATCGTGTTTGGATAAACACTATGTCGAGAGAGAGAAATTGCTAAAGGACATCAAGGGATGTGATGTTGCGTCCGCCTTCTTTGGTAAGCTCTTGAAGAAAGCTGTTGATCAGAGAAACCTCATCTCCTCGCTAGATTTGGAGACTCCACAATTGTGAACTTCCCTGTATATATTAGCCCACACACATTCTCACAAATGAAAACGAAAAGAAGCAAAATGAAGATATTGATAATTTATGAAGATATTAATATTTATAAAGGTATTAATATTTATGATTTTATGCCTTTGGTTTTTTGTTCTTGTCGCTGGCTACAATTCATGAAAACATCCGCCATTGAATTGCAGACAAATGGACACCTTTGTTTCTGGACATGTAACCTTCTGTACATCGCCATCGGCTTTTGCATCCTTTGCTGTGTCCGCGTGGTACCATCTCTGAGTTGAATTTGATGTCCCCATTGTCTTAACAGGATCCAACACCTTTGGACAATACAACATTTCTGTGAACTTGAGGTATCAGATACCTATCACCCCTCCCCATACTCACCCGAAATCACCAATTGCTCCGTTACTAACATACCCTTCTTTCTAAATCCTTAACCCATATCTCTCTTGTAACTCTCTCCCCATGCAGGTGTACCCGCCTACTTGGAACCCTACCCCTTTCCCATGGCTTGTGGAGACACCGAGCGGACAAAAAGCCCTCTGGCCAGACGTGAGGTTTTCTTTAGGTTTCCATTTTCTGCAGCCTTGCGTCCACCGGTGAACAAACTCAACTCAAAGTTCACTTTACCCAGCTCTGTTTGTCTTAACGGTGCAATTAACAAGAAACCCATAAATTTGCCAGTTGAAATTACATTGACCAGCTGGGGGAGAAAGAGGGAAAAAAAGACCATCCGGTGTGAAGCAACCGTGAGCTATATACACCTGTGTGTGGAGTGTTTTTTTTTTAATCTAGGAAACCGAGAGAAAGGCATAGCTGAGTGAAGTTTATTGGCGTTGAGCCTGTGGACGAAAAGATTGCTTCTTATGGTGTCATTACTTGACCTGCCCTTGGAAGTGTGGGAGAACGTTGTTTCCTCCATATCTATCCGAGACCTTTTGTCGCTGTGTTGCGTCAATCGCATAACGAATCGGATGCTCACCAGCGACGATATCTGGAAACCGTTGGTAGCGACGAGGTGGTTCGTGACGGAAGACGTCGACTGGACATCGTTCCATGGTATTGTGAACTACATGCAGTACTACAAGAGAAGACATTTGCTTGATACAAGAGTGGAAAAAATCATACAGAGTGAGAGTTTCACGCTGGAACAGGGATGGAGGCTGATAGCCATTGGTGGGGAACTTGTGCCTCTGATGCTGAGGATGAGAAAGAACTCCGACAACTTGTATACGCGATACGTTGCAACTTCGATACTTGAAGCGATAAGACGAATCCAGGCCATTAAGTCCATGGTTGAACTATTGGAGAGACCGATAGGGGAGGTTGTTCATGAATCGCTATACGATAGACTGTCCCTCTTGGATAGAGCGTACGATCGAATTGCTCCTTACAGAACAGCAATGATCAAAAATATAGTGGGGAGGGTTAGACGTGACCCTAGGCTGATTGACTGTGTCTCTTCTACAGAGGTTGTGCTGTTGATAATAGAGGCCATATGTAAAGAGCTACACAGTGTTGTTGACGAAAGGACGTATTTACAGGAATCGCTTGATAACATTTCTATTCAAAGACATTACGCTGGTGAAGTTGGTGCCAGTGGTATGATAAAGTATGCCATCATTGGTGGATTGGCTGACAAGTTCAACATCAAATGTGATCTCTGCAATACGTTTCTCATAGTGAAAGATCCGTATTTTGAAGGGGGCAAGTCTTACATATCGTTAAAGTCTGGCACGTTCCAACCAAGTGTCTACTCAGTCAGAGAAATATACCCTGCTGTCTTGAGATCTAATCCAAGAGAGCCGCAGCGGGCATTGCAGTCGTTGATCCGACCTTGGACTGCAAAGATGGCCATCGAGGCACTTATTGAATTCCAACAAACTGATTCAATCGTGCGTGAGGCAACGATGAGAGAGCGTATTGTTGACTATGAGGCGATCTATCCGAGATCCAAGATTCACGTCATGACTGGAACTTGTGACTACTACGCAAATTGTTTCCACGAATACTACAAGTCAAGGGTCGATACGATTCTCCTCGTCGAGATGGCTCGTAGGTTCCCCTTTGATGCTTTATTCTTTGAAGAGTTTTTCAAAGATCACAGTGAAGTTGATTTCAAACAAATTGCTCTAGAAAGCTATCTACAGCCTAATTTTGACGGAGAATTCGTTAACATCTGTCCTGGTACCCCGTTCAAGTTGGGACAAGTTGTTAAACACGTTTCGGGTGTTATCTCTGTAATCGTTGGAGCATATACACTAATCACTGAAGGGTCTCAAACCACAAGGATCTTTTATCGGTTGCTGAACGGACTTGATGTTAGCGGCGCACGGATTGAACTGTTGCAACAAATCCCACATTCTAAACTACAAGCATTAATGAATTTTTACGACATTGGCATATATTTTACACATTTTGACGAAGAAAGATCGTTATTCGTCCCACATGAACGGCTCAAAGTTGCATATGACTGGTTGTGATCCGTGAAGACACTTTGGCAACCTCAACTTTGGTGTGTTTTCTGTATTGGTTGTCCCCATTACATGGACAGGAGAAAGGGGGAAGAAAAGAGGCGATGGTTTTGTAACAGTGTTTGTGTTATATAAAGTGCTCAATTGTACTTGGTAATTGGTTATACATAGCGTACATATAGCAAAATACAGGTTTTACAGATTTCACAGGTACCGAATGGTGTTGAACTGGCTGGCATGTGTCTTCCGGAGTAAGGTACGCTGAGTGGAATTGGCCACTTGACAAATATAAACTGTATCAATTATTGGAGGTAATGTTTGTTATAACACAGGTTCTGTATCGGGTTTCACTATAATGAAAGGCATTATATATTGAGAAACTGAATAAATTTGGAGTTTTTTCAATATTTTCATCATTTATACTGAATATTGGAAAGAAAAAAGAGACCATAAAATTTAGCAAGAGAGTATTAATTTAAACTGAAGCCGATCAATTATTGGAATCTTTCCAAACTGTGATAACATAGTGTGATATGTATAGACGATCAAGATGTTGATATCTCTGCTGTATCACTCCACGAGGTATTAGTTGAGTTAATGAAGACTCCGACAACGGTCTTAGAGAGATGTCTTTTGTACAGAAATGTGTCATCTTAAACCCGGACACCACATATATTATAATGGGGATGGGCTTCTCCCTCTTTTCCTCCAACCAATTGCCATGATCGATGGTGTAAGCTAGCAATGTATCATCTCATGATTAACCAGTGCTGTGCCGACGAAATCACGATTCTCATCCCACAAGATTGCCTGGGGATCAGTGGTGATCTCCATTATACCTACAGCCATATCTACGCAATGACGATGATAAAACCAACTTTTCTTAAAAAAACAGAAACCCATAACTATATTATAAAAGAAACCCCATAAAGACATTAGAAAACCCAAGAAATCCAAACAAAAGACAGTACAAAGAACCTTTCTCTATTTGCAGCCCAGTCATCAAGATGATAAAACCTCACAACTCTTGAGAAGCCTTGGCCTTGGAGGCCTTCTTTGGCAACAAGCTTTGGTGAATGTTTGGCAAGACACCACCCTGAGCAATGGTGACATGGCCCAACAACTTGTTCAACTCCTCATCGTTTCTGATGGCCAATTGCAAGTGTCTTGGAATGATACGGGTCTTCTTGTTATCACGTGCAGCGTTACCAGCCAACTCCAAGATCTCAGCAGCCAAGTACTCCAAAACAGCAGTCAAATACACTGGTGCACCAGAACCGATTCTTTGTGCGTAGTTACCCTTTCTGAGCAAACGGTGGACTCTACCAACTGGGAAAGTCAAACCTGCCTTTGCAGAACGTGATTGAGAAGCCTTTTCAGCAGAACCAGCTTTACCTTTACCTCCAGACATGATGTTGTTATTGTTAATGTGTTGTTGGAATCGATAATAGTTATTGCTGTTGTCACCACTCAAAGAACAATTGAGGGATGTGAAGGCCCTTTTATACATCCATTGCAAGTGAAGCGGACTGCACACGAACAGGCTCCGTGAACCGTGGGCCCCGTAAACCTTGGGCAGAGAACGCGGTGAAGGCCTCTCTTCGATGTGCTCTGTTTATAAAGTGCGTACTGATATTTACGCCGGTATTTTGGCAGGAGGTGCGTGTAAATTTCAGTCTGGGAGTTGCCATCTAACTCCCAGCGTACTGACAGTTACACATGTGCAGTAGTAACTCCCAACAATAGATTCTGAAATTTACACTAGCTACAATAGATAGCAACTCCCAGCGCTCAGCGAAAATGTCGTCACGCTGGGACTTGCTCCCCTTTGTTTACATTTGTTTACCACTTAACCGCCAGCGGCTAATTCCCGTCTTTGTATATAAAGGCCACCACAGAACCGTCACAAATTCATCATCATCACCATGAACTGCAACAACTGCAAGTTGAAGTAAACAAAGAAGACACACAAGATGGCACCAAAAGCTGAAAAGAAACCTGCATCCAAAGCTCCAGCTGAGAAGAAGCCAGCTGCTAAGAAGACCGCATCCTCTTCTGAAGGTCCAAAGAAGAGAACCAAGGCTAGAAAAGAGACATATGCTTCCTACATCTACAAGGTGTTGAAGCAGACGCACCCAGACACCGGTATTTCGCAGAAGGCTATGTCAATTATGAATTCGTTCGTCAATGATATCTTTGAGAGAATCGCCTCTGAGGCTTCGAAATTGGCTGCCTACAACAAGAAGTCCACCATCTCTGCCCGTGAGATCCAAACCGCCGTTAGATTGATCCTTCCTGGTGAATTGGCCAAGCACGCGGTTTCTGAGGGTACGAGAGCAGTCACAAAGTACTCTTCTTCCACTGCTTAATGAACTCTTTTGCTTTACATTCTGGGGCTTTTTCTTCTCTTCCTAGTTCTCGGGTATTTGTCTTTGGTTTTTTGATATATATACGTGCAATAATTTGGTATATACGGGGGTTTATATAATGATGGAACGTTTTATTTGAAAAGTGCACTAGTAGGTGGTTCAACAATCACACGCCAATGCACCCATTGGATCCCACAATGGCAACTCAATAGGTGTTGTGTCTAGCAGATGAGCATACTCCTCAATCTCGTCTTTATCAACAACAATTTGATAGCACCACTGCTCAAAGTACTCCTGGGTCATGATGAAATACCCATCAAAGCCATTGTCCTTGCCCCATGAGTTCTCAACCCTGTATCTGTTTGGCTTACCGTCCTCCCCAATGTTCACTCCAGTTATCAACATCGCGTGGGTCATCAACGACTCACCATACTTCACTCTCGAGGCCTTCGGTTGGTTCTGCTTGAATCCAAGAGCTTCGGAGTACTTGAAGAACTCAATGTCCATGATACCCTTCTTGCGGTGCATGTACTTTGGCGTATGAGAGCCAAAGAACACAGGCTTGTTGGACTTGATACGCTTGACAACCAACGAGGTCAACACCTCGTTGGAGAGGTTCAAGTACAGCACCTCACGGCCACCGGCAACGTTGTTCAGGTCCTTCACCTTCACCATGGTCTCATACGGGTTTCTTGGGTCGTTGATGATCGAGACGGCATTGGCGTAGTCAAAGTCAACGTACTCCTTATAGAACTGCACTGGAGTCGAGGTGATCTTGTGGTACTTCTTATCCTTGTCGTAGTACTCCCAGGTGAACTCCTCGTCAGGCTTTGGAGGCGTCCCGAGGAACACGGTCATGATCTTGTACACCTCTTTAACCATTTGATCCTTTAGAGGCACAACATCTTCACCTTTGGCTTTGGCGTCTCTCAGCACCTCAGCAAACTCACGAAGCTTGGATTTGAGCAGCTCGTTCAGCTTGGCTGAGCTGGTGGATGTGAACACATCTGGGTACACGTCCAGAGGAACAACGGCAACCTTCTCCAGCAGGTTCTGAACCATCGTGAACTGACCACCATCACATGTTGGGTCCAGCAGCAACGCCTGGACAAGTCTGGAACCAACATCCTCCTCCCAGGTGTCGATGATCTTCTCCAGGAAGTAGTTGCACTTCTCCAGCTTGTCGTAGAAGAAGAGATAGCTCTGCGACAGCTGGAACTCCTTGAGCTCCAGCTTCTGCGCCACGGTACGACGAAGCATGTTTGTTGTGGCAAACAGCCAGCAACGGCCACTGGACTTCTGATTGGTGATTGGTGCGCCTTCAGGGTCGATCACATGTGAGAACACATTGGGATACTTGGAGGATGAGCCAATCAAGAGGTCCTGAGCAGCTTGTTGCTGTAGCACTGTGGACGCCAACTTATGGGTCGGATCGTCGCCAAACTCCGCATCCCACGCTTTCAAGTCCTTGATGTTTACGGCAGCCATCGTCTTGTCCTTGGTGATAGTTAAGTAGTCTGTATAGCCAGGTGTCTCCTCAATTGAGATGACCATGAAACTGCTCTGATGGAGGGTTAGAAAGGAGAGGAAGACATGGTTTCCGTGCAACAGGACAGCGGAGGTGTTAAATAGTGCAGAGCCCGGTGATAAGGACTCTTTGGGATGTGACGAAATAGCGCCGTATACGCCCAATTGGACGCTGGACGGGGAGATCGACACATTGCCTCTTCACAGTGGCACTCAATTGGCGTAGCCCTCCCCAGAGTGCGTGGTTGATGGTTATACGCAGCTTCCCATGCTGTGCTTTATACACAGCATGAAGCGTGCTGTAGCTACACAAGGCATTATTATCAACACATTCAAATTCGTTAGCTGAGAATTACGGAGATGGACGCCTACGCGGTCTCAACGTGCTCCACAGAAGGTCTTGTCTTCTTGACAGTCACCACAGAGTTATCAACATGCTCAATGGTGTCACCAAACACCTCTGCGACTTCCTCTAAGGAACGGCCGGAGGTTTCCGGGTAGAACAGCACCACGGTGACAACCTCGACGGCCAGGACACAGCAGTAGACGATGTAGTACTTCCATTCGATCGCATCCATCGCAATAGGGTTGACAAACGAGTTATATACAAGCACGATCTGCATCCAGAACTGGAAGATGTTGATTCCCTTAGCCCTGTGGGAGTATGGCAAGATCTCGGTGATGTAGAGGTATGGAAGTCCGTTAAGGCCGATGTCATAGGCGAAATAGTATAGGAAGATCATTGCCAGAACACCATTGGAGAGACCTTTATCTTCAAAGTTCCGCTGCTGGTTGATGGCAGACAACACCGTCCAGATGATGTAGCACACGAGCATGCCTCCCAAACTCGAGATGAACATGGTTCTTCTCTTGAAGAGTCCTGATACTGAGCAGAACACAACAGAGACCACCAGGTTGAACAGCATAAGACACAGGTTGATGAGAAGCTGTCTGGAAGTCTCGGTGATACCAATGGAGTTCAACACTTTGTTCAGGTAGTACGACACCAGCCCATTCCCTGATAATTGCATCATTGTTGATGTGAAGACAACCAGGAACAATCTCTTTCTATAGCCTCTCTTGTTCAAGAAGTCAAGATAGCTTGCATTGGCACCAGCTTCCTTCTCGGCTTCCAAACCTGCCTGTATCTCAGTAACTTCAAATCTAACAAGCTCAACATCCTTTGCATCGGTTGAGTTGCCAGTGTGTATTCTGCTCAGAATGTCTTCAGCTCTATCGACTTTACCTCTTGCAACCAAATAACGAGGAGACTCAGGAACCCACCATAGCATCGCAAGCTGGACTAAAGGGAAGAAGCCTTGCAGATAAGATGGGATTCTCCAGGAGTAGCTCGATTCGATGGTTCTCGTGAAATAGGTGACAATTGCAGCAATCAATGCACCGAGATACCAGCATAGGTTATAGGCGAAGGTGCACACCTCTCTGTGCTTTGGATAGGCAATCTCAGAGATCAAAGTTGGACAGCCAACAGTTGCAGTAGCAGAACCAAGTCCAATGATGAAACGAGAGGCAAAGAAGAAGCCGTAACTGTTCGACACACCTTGTAATATAGCCCCGATCAAAGCGACGGTTTGACCTGTGACAATGACGAACTTTCTACCATATCTGTCACAGAGATATGGAGCAAAGAAGAACACACCCATGGAACCAAAGATGGGTGCTGCACTCAAGGCACCTAGACGGTCACCTGTTGGATACCCCATGTATCTCTGCCAGTAGTCAAGGGACTGTAAACCGTTAAGCATAGAGCCATCGAACCCGTTGTTCGTTGATGTTAGGGTGATGACAAAGACATGGAAGCAGAGTGTACGTAGATGTGGTACTCTATACCAAGGTCTTGTTTCATGGATATAGTCGTTGATGTTGTTCTTCTCTTCCAATTGAAGAGAATTGGAGTTTGTGATTACCTCCTTTGTGATAGAATCAGAGGACATCTTTGTTGTTTGATAGTGGAGTGGAAGTAGACTACCTGATTGAGGACAAAGAGCTCCAGCAGGTTTTATATTCAAATTCTGGAGCCGGAGGGAGGTGATCTCTTGGTGTGGAATGACACTGGACGGACCTTAGTGAAAGTCACAGTCGAACGAGGGGTGTACTTGCGTGTCTGCCTGCAACAGTTTCTGCATATCGTCTTGATGCACAAGGAGTACTGCATCACCCCGACTTTCAACGGCAGGAAACAAATTTGTTGGATGTCAGCACGACATTTGAGGGGTGTGGAAAGAAGTGAGAAGGACAAATATCCGTCCCAAGGCGTGTTTGCTTGATATAACTCCTCTAGTAGAGCTGAAAGAGCCAATTATATTGTCATCTTGGTGGAAAGCTGCAACGTTTTGAACTACGAGCCGGAGGAGGAAACACATATGACATTTTTACATTACAGTGGAACTAAAAGAATTACACAGCTATAGACGGGGAAAACAGTACAGTGACATTGTAAGCTAGAGAGTACCAATGTATGAACTGCTCAACTGCACGATTATTACGAGAATTTGAACAGGGTGCAGAATTAAGTAATCTGGGGTGTTTTAAGAGCCGGACAAGAAATAAGAATAGGCTATTTTGGTGGAGCTCTTGCAGTACTAAAGGAGCTTATCACCTTGGAAGGAAGAGAACACCAGGGGAGACCCAAACAGTTTATTGCCAGCAGTCTCTCCATCCTTAGTCACCAATATAATCTTGATGTTTCAATCGTAAGACAATGATTGACTCATTGCCTGTCGGAGTTTTTCCACCATTTAGCTTTAAGGTTCTTCTGGGGTGCGTCACATGGAACAAATTTCGGAAGAACTGTTTTCATTAGTTCATTTAACCGCAGGTTTAGCGCACTCCACCAGAGGAATCATACATGCTGTTGAGTTGTGGTCAAAGCGATGCAGATAAGCCACGTTGTGGGTGATGCCGGATCAATGGGATGACTGCTGACTCGTTGGCCACGATGTCACAGTGTTTCTCCGCTTCCAACAAAGTCATAGGCTACAGGTCCAATTCAGAGGGTTGTGCTTCATTGAGTAGAGAGCCGTAAAAAAGAATGACGACCCACATTGAAGAGGTTGGCTGAGGGTTTCAGAAATGGTGTGTATTCTCAAAGATGGCTTAGCATGTTGCCAAGCGGAGTTAGTGGGATGTGGTTGAGGTGAAATTCACCTCCTGTTCCAAGAACTTTGCAACATGTTCCAATGTGCAACCAGAAGTTTCTAGAGAGAGCAATATGACAGCGAGAACTTATACATCGAGAACGAAACAGTAGGCGGTGGAGTGCCTCCAACTGATGGCATCCAAGGTAGTAGCATTGACAAGGGCATTATAAAGTGGGAGTACTTGTGTCCAGCCGTGAGGTGCTGGTGCCCTTGACCTTTTGAGAATGTGACAGTATTTCAGCGATGTGTAAGTATGGTAGTCCTTTAAGACCGATATAATAACGTGATATGGAAAAATCATTGACAATACACCAAGTGATAAGCTTTGACTCTCATAGTTTCTCTACGGTGTAATTTCGGAAAGTATAGCTCAATAATAAGACATAAAGGCATACCTAGGGTGCTTATTATGAAGAGTGTGATTCTCTTGAAGAACACAGGGAGAGAACAGCAAGAGGGTGAAACAACCAAGTTATCGAACAACAGTTGATTGATAGTGGCTTCAGATTATCACCGATTCCAATGGAGCTTAACACCAATTTGAGGTAATATGACAATACATTACCCGCAAGTTGTGTCATGGTTGCGATACAAAGAACAAGGAATAACCTCTTTCTATAATTCATTTTCTCTGTAAAGTTCAGATAACTTGATGAAGAATCAGAATGTTGATACATCTACAGCCCAATATGGATCCCTCTTGTCTCCAATTGGATAGATTCAACGTCTCTGAGATCTGTGGAGCCTCCAATATGGGGTTTTGCCAGTAGAGCTTCCGCTTTTAAGGGTTTACGTTTAGCAACCAAAAGTAGTGAAGATTGCCGGACCCACACAAGGAAGCTGAGTTAAATAAGAGGGAAGAAACCCGGCCAGAATGATATGGTTCCTCAAGTATTAAAGCCTATGAAATGGATAACAACAGCTGCAACCAATACACGAAGATACTGATATGTGTTATAGGAGAACATACTAGCTTGCCTTATGTGTAGAAAACACAGTCTCAGAGATCAACGTTGGACTTGCAATGCCTGCTAAACCGGAATCAGACTCAATGGCAAAACTTGAAACAAAATAGAGTCCGTAATCACTCGAAACACCTCGTGGCACTGCCCCTATAACCGTAATGTTATCACCTATGATAGCCACTGGTCTCCTACCAGATTTATCACGAAGATACTGAGCAAACAAGAAAACAATAATCCCACCAAATGTTGGTCGAGAGCTCAATGCACCCAGCACATTACCAGTGGGCTCAGAGTAAAAGATATAGAAATAGAATCTATGCTTCACCAAGTGTGAGACCCTATACCACGGTCTGGTCTCGTGGATATGATCCTTAGTGGCTTCTCCTTCTTCCGCTTCAAAAATCGAAGTTATATTTGTAGTTTCAGATTGAATCATCTTACTAGAATAGAACTTCAGTGAGAGGATCTTTATCTGAGACGAAGGAAAGCCATCTTGTGAAGAGCCTCATGATTGAGACCTCCTTTACAAAAGTAAATCTCTCGAAGAATGACCATCGCTCAAAAGGTAAGTGGACGCTAAGTTCCTCTATTAGTGCTCCTCACTCCATATATGGACTCTCCTTGAATCATTTACTTTGTGCTAAACATGAAACTAACCCTCAGAGGGCCAACCGGTGTCTTTCACAGAAGCGTGGAGTTTAACAACAGCTGTAGACAAGTTTCATAGACTCTAGTTAACCTCAAAGAATAAATCTTCTGAACTACTCAGCCAAATGGTATGATACAAATTCGCTAGCAAAAAAACATACACACAGAATTTTTTTAGCTTAGGAAAGTGTCATGGATCAATCTATAGAACAAGTAGTCTAACTACCTCTATCATATATGCCTTAAAGCATTGGATCCTCGAACCTTGGTTGGTATTCAGTACATTGATTCCCTCAAAAAGAGAATTAATCCCAAGAGCCACGGGACTTCAATTGTATAACTAGGAATAATCCAGTCCCTTTTTAAGCCTCTTGTCAATACGCTTACAGTCATCATCCTCATCTGAATTGACCCGCTCTGTATGAATGACTCCAGATACATTAGTCCTGAAAAGGATAGCCATAGATCAGCAAAGTGTATAGCACCACTACATACAAAATACACGGTGGAGTCCTCATTCAGCGACGGCTCTTAATATAAACATGAAACACTCAATGGACTTCACCACCACACTCTCCTTATAAGTATCTACAACAAGGACTTTGATAACCCATCAAACATCACAATCCACCAGTAATAGAAAGCGCTTATGACCAATCGGGTAATTAAACCCATGGTTCCCCCAGCAACGGGAACAAAAATTCCGGTGCATGTTGCCCCAACCCAAAACTGAAATTTCTCCGAGAGCTTGCCATCCAGTAATAATGTCTTGTTTAATCAGCAACTTATTCCTTCTGACTACAGCTCTGATCGCAGGATCTCGAAGAAGGCTTCGTTTCAGAAGAGGATAATAATGAGTGCTTTACTCTCGGAGTCTGATTTGAACGATTTCATCAGTCCTGGGCTGGCATGTATCAAGCCTGCTGGAGAGGTACGGGCATCGAGCAATGGCGATAAGAGCGAGTATGAGATCCAGATTAACGGACAAGGTGAGGCATTTGAGGTCTCAATCGATGATGGTACCACACAAGAGTTGACACAGGCAAGCATTTCATTACAGGACTGTTTGGCGTGCAGTGGGTGCATCACCTCTGCTGAAGAGGTGCTGTTGGCGAAGCAGACGCACAAAGTGCTGTTGGAAGATTTGTCCAAGTTTGCCAATTCCAAGGTCTTTGCATTTAGCATATCGCACCAATCAAGGTGCTCATTGGCTTCCTTTTGGGGCTTGCCCACGTACAAAGTTGATGAGTTGTTGATAAACTTGATGAGTGAGAAGTATGGGTTCAAGTTTGCTGTGGGGACGGAACTTGGTAGGGTGATGAGTATCCAACGTACCAACGAGGAGCTTATTCAAAGGAAGTTCTCTTCTTCAGAAAAGTCTGTCCAGCTGTCAAGCATATGCCCCGGGTTTGTACTGTACGTTGAGAAGACCAAACCTGAGATCTTGCCCTACATGCTCAACGTGAAGTCTCCTCAGCAGATTACGGGCTTAACCTTGAAGACATTAATATCACAACAGATGAGTATATCACTAGAGGAAGTGTACCACCTTTCCATTATGCCATGCTTTGACAAGAAGCTGGAAGCTGCAAGACCTGAAGATGCCGTTGACGTTGACTGTGTGCTTACACCGAAAGAGATTGCAGAGCTGATCAAGGAGGAGGAAATCAACATTAAGGACTATATCACAACGAAGGATGAGCCACCTAATGAGCTTTATACCCGAGCAGCACCTTATCATTGGCCATCTCCTGTTGAATCGTGGAGTTCAAACGTGGGTTCACCATCTGGTGGGTACGCAGAGAACTATATCATTGCTCTACAGAGGCATTACAGGACCAAGGGCGTTGAAACAGAGATACAGCACATTTCTGGTAAGAACAGCGATGTCTTGGAGTTTCGACTCGTTGAAACGTCCACCGGCGAGAAGCTAGGCTCGAGTTCCATTGTGAATGGGTTCAGAAACATCCAGAACCTGGTTAGAAAGCTGAAACCTAGTGGTAAAGTAAAGATTGGATCAGGCTTAGCTGCTCGCCGTAGAGCTAGAAAGACTGCTAATGCTGGCAGCGATGCTAAGGACGAACCGGTAGCAGATCCGAGTGTGGGTGATTTTGTCGAAGTCATGGCCTGTCCCGGTGGTTGTATCAATGGAGGAGGCATCAACAACGGTGGTAACACTACGGATAATAAGAAGCTCATCAACGAACTAACAGAGATCTATGAACAGTTACCCTTGATTCAAGAGCTGAACACCACTTCCGATAACGGCATTGTATCTGAGTTCTTGAACCAATTGCAAAGGTCATTTGAAATCACAGACGATAGAATGTTCAAGTACAAGTTCAGTGCGATTGAGAAGGCTACGGACATCCTGAGCGTTGGTAGCAAATGGTGAAGTCATCGTCTGTATAGTCTTTGCAATTAATGACCCAAATAGGAAATAGACCAAATGGGGAATACTAAAATAAGAAATGACTCAAATAGGAAATACACCCAATTCGGAAACACAATCTGCCAATGAAAATCACGGCAAACCTCGCGATATTTACACACTGGGCAAATGGCAGATTCTGTCCCACACTTACATGAACAAACAGTGAAGAGTAAACAAAGACGCAGTATCTCAGCTGAAGAGGCAGATAGAGCCAGACAGAGCCAGACAGAGGCAGATAGAGCCAGATAGAGCCAGACAGAGCCAGACAGCAAGTACGTGCCATGTCTGAAGCCACAAATCACGGCGTGAAGAAGTGCACTCGGTGTAGGGTTAAACGGGTACTGGAGACTGATGAGCAGTTGAAGACGTACAAGACATGTCTGAATTGTAGAGAGAAGCGGAAAGTTACCGCGCAGAAGCTAGTTGAAAAGTGAGGATCCTGGTCACTCTATCGCAATCTGATACTAACTCGTTGATAGGACCTTGCCTACTGAATATGAGACCTTTGAAAGCTTCCTGTCCAAGGTCAAATTGAACACAGTTGAGAATATTGACGATCTTCGGTACCTTGGTTTGACTGACCCCGCCAAGTTTGCTCGTTACTCAACAGACGACCCCATTCCTAAGGAAGTGTACCAGCTGTACTCGAAGAGCCTCATAGAGTTCTACATCAAGCCTATCATAGAGCAAACCGGGTTCAAGTTCGTCGTCAGAGACTTCCGGAAAGGCGGGCGCAGGACGAAGAAGATCAACTTCCAGTTCATATGTTCTCAAGACCGCTCGAAGCAGCGGAAATCCCGATCCAACAACCGGAGGAGGATACAGAACAGGCTCAAGGTGCAGGACTGCGACTCGAGGATCAACCTCAAGTACTCGATGACGAATGGACAAGTGAGCATCTCATTTACACACCGGACCCACGTCCCATACGAAGCGAGACACCAGACACCACCGGACATCCCCACTGGCCACGTCCACGATGCGGTGAAGAGCGAGCCAAACGGACAAGATGGGCTGGAGTTCAACTCACTACAGCGTCTGGCTCATTACAACAGTCAATTCCACCATCACAGCGACGATAGCACCACCAGCACCAGCATCAGCACTACTCACACAACCGACTCCACCACGGCACAAGAGGCCGTGGCAATCGCCACGCAGAAACTGAGCGAGGACAAGATGGAGGACAAGATGGAGAACATCGACAAGGAGCTGATTGGACTGCAACAAGGCTCTATATAGCAGCTTTAACCCATTACTCCCCAACTAGGCCAACTCTCTGCGTGTAAAACCCCGGCCCGTTAGCCCACCGCCTACGCGGGAGACGTCAGTCTACGCGGGCGGCGCCAGCCTAGACGAGCGGTGCCAGCCTAGACGAGCGGTGTCAGCCTACGCCAACAACCCCAGCCTACGCCAACAACCTCAGCCTACGCCGACAGCCTAGACGGGCGGTGTCAGCCTACGCCAACAACCCCAGCCTAC